CTTTATCTGAAAGTCACAACAAGATAAAATGTGTCTTGCCTTGAAGTTTATTAACAAGGGTCTGCTAAAACTAAATACGGGAAAACTACTTCTTCGGGTCCTAGCAATTCACAGAGTTTGTGATACAAAAATGGAAACTCAAAAAATTAACTTCCTCTTAGTACGTCCGACACCATGGTGTTATGAGTCAGTTTCTACATGTACAAGGATAATCATTCTGAGTGAGAAATTTTGTTATTAAATGAATGTACATGTACCAACTAGCTGACGTCTTTTATCAAAATCAAAATGTGCTTCAGGATTATAAGTATAATAACACACTGTGTAAGTGTCCAAAATGTACGTCGAACACCGTGGAACTGCCCATTACAGTTTCACAAGGCATATAGAAAACCACAGCACAGTAAAGATCACAAATGTGAAATCACATTTAAAACTGGAAGTCCGTATTAATTAAACAAGAGTGTTTGTATGAAAAACATCTATTAAAGTGAAAGTACTGTAAATACTTCTTAAAAACAATCCATTAATGGTACCATTTCACGCGTCATTACGGTACAGCCACAATTTAAAAAATGCTGAATATTGAAGGAAGTTCTCTTATTACAATGACAAAATAACTGAAAACATGAATGAGCAAACTTATATCGTCCCCATCGAAATTGTGCAATGTACAAGCTTGCTTGCACTGTATGCATACATTGTACATATTCTCTCCCTCTGCAAAAGTTGATGTACATATACATGTACTAGTGCACACATGCACCGAATATGTCAGGTAGAAAAGAATCAAGCCAGAAGCAGAAAGTTCCCAGCGTCATTGGCTTTTGATCTGTTATGATAACACATGTATTTGCTGTGTCAATATTGTATACATGTACATTGTATCTATCTGATACCTGTATCCTCGGGCCAAAGTTGAGAATCCCTTAATTAAAAAGAAAACAAAAATTGTCCTTGTCAAGACAGGAACAACATAAAAGCTGCACTCAATGATGTGTCTGGCTATGAAACGAGCTGTTGTGCACAGAATATCAAAATCTTTACCATTTTTAGAATGCGCTATCTATGGGAGCTGTTGGTGAGCTTCCTTTATTGTATATGCGTACATGTGTATGTGTATCTTGGACCACATGTAAGGTACACTGTAGACAGGGACATGTGATCCAGTGGTTAGGGTATGTACATGTACATGTAGCTTCTGATCATAGGGTCAGGGTTTCGAATCCTGGTGGGTGGTTATGTGTTGTGACCATCAGCAGGCTACTGTACCTCTACTTGCCTCGTTCCACCCAGGAGCAAATTGGTACCTGTGAGGGCAGATATGGGTTATTTATGAAGCCATTTTCTGTCTGATGTGGCAGTATCGGGCTAGCATACTCCCCAGGGTGTATCAAGTTTGCTTGAAGATGAATTTGTTTGAGCACATGTAGTTTTGAACACAATCCTGCTACATTGTAGATGGGTGAAGACATCGATATCACGGTGGCAGTAGACTACATGGTAATCATGAGATCATTCTATAAGATGTTGGTTTTAGAAAAGTTCAGAAGAAAAGGTTAAAGAGGCCCAGTGAAGGGCAGACAAAGGGATCATTGAAGAAATAGGAAGCAGTGTAATATTAAATGATGCCTTCTTTCTTGGATACTTCAGTTACGACAATAAAATATGGACATCACATTTTGTGCAATGGAGAGAGGAACTTGCACCCTTTCGGATAATGCCACAATCTCCAGATCTGGACAATTTTCAGACATTTTTATGCTTAAATATACATTGTAGGGACCCTACTCTGCGCAGGAAGTGGTCCAGTTGCGCGTACTGTAGTGCTTCTGAGTTCCACATTCCACAAGGGGTACATTTTGTTAAGAGTTGCTGTTTGTGAGCTACAGTCGCCATGCCCCTTAGACAACCATATGGAATTTTACATGTACCTGTTACACTTTCAGTTTTGTTTGTCACAGATTTATTGCGTCCCACGTCCATTTTGCATGTTCTGTGTTGGACAATACTAGTACTGACTACCGGTATCTTACAAGCTGCATTGGCGCGATTCTATTGCAATACATGTAGGTCAATTACATACTTCAGGAGAGGAATTAGTCCCCTCCGATCCATCATTGTGTAAGTACAGTGTTTTCTGGCCTAATGCACACAACATATCATATTGGTGGCACGTTTCTGGGTAATTCCAGAAATTAGGGGTCCAAGAGTGTGACATTTTCGTGTCCTTGTTGCATCTGACCTTTGTTGTTTGACATGGAAATGTCGCCAGAATCAATTTCAAACTATTACTCTTTGTTTGGCAGGTAATTTGCATAAATTCATTACTCTCAAAAATTAGAAAATGTGTTCTGAACTTACAAATTCATATGTCAGATGTGACAGGGACACGAAAAAAAGTGGACCCCTAATTTCTGGAATTACCCTTGTACAGACTAGTAAAATTGTGCACTTAATACATAGAGTCATTCCAGTATCTAGCTATGTAGGTCAGGATCATCAATCCAGGAAATCTTGTAATATCCTTCAAGCTTTCTTGACAGTGGTGACTAAGTCCACGGGGAAAGCCCTCTACATGTACTCCTGAAGTCCTAAGGAGGCGTGCCCTGGGTGATTTTTGACTGATTCTTTGGCATCATCTTAGGATGAGCCAAGACAGTTTGAAAATTTGACCTGTGAAATTCCATTGTTGTCCACTGTTGTGCTAAATTCGCAAACTTGCCTCACATGTATACGTGCGCACATACATGTATGATGCACCTACATGTACATGTATGAAGCAATTTCCTGATATTTGTGCATATGTACAGTCTTTAGGGGTTGAGGGTATTTGAAATTGAAACCCACCTACGTGTACTTGTTATAATGTGGGGTTCTATGAGAACATTGCTGAACATCCACATACATGTACTAGAACTTCATCCTGGACTTGGGCATACATGTAGTACAAACTTACATGTACATGTACAGGTACATTTTCATGTGCACCTGTTCTGTCGGAAATAAAAGCACCACCTTTTTTGCTTTCCCAGTTCATACATGTATGCAGGCATGGGGTTGTCACTTAACTACATGTAGTCCCCCAATAGTAATCAAAGATAATCCCATCCTAGCTCTGTGGTCACCTTCAGTCATAATCACTTAATCTGGTCCTGGATACTGTAGGTACTGTACATGTACATGTAGCTTGTCCTGGGAGAGATCAGAGGCACCTGTGTATTTAAGTGATCATAGGCTGACAGCCATTAGGCACATACATGTACACTCAGGGAGTCTCAACTTGGCAAGTCCAGTCATTCATGTTCAGTCATTATAAATAGACATGTACATGCACAAAACGGCAGTGTTGGTTCATCTCTAGTTTTAGGAAGCATGCTGTGCACTGTATGCATGTATGCAAGCATGGTACCAGTAGTACAGTACATGTTTGTACATGCAGACGATCAAATTCAAGTCTTGTAAATGCTTCATGTACATTGGTCACATACATGTACAAACATACATAGTGCACTAACATGTACATTGTACATGTTGTGATTATTTGTTTCTCTTTACAGTTGCTTCAGAATTTGTGGTTATGTACGGTACTGCGCAGTGTACACATGTACTCATAAGTACATGTACATGTCATAAGAGTGACCTTTGATTTATTGTACCGATACATGTACATGTATCAGCATGAAAACTATGGAAGATAATGCTCTGAACAAGCACTGAATACATGTACTGTAGTTGTCACCATACTGTTAACCCGGGCCATATGCCAAACCTAATGAAATCTTGTGTGATTTGAATGCACAAGTAATAGTGTATACATGTACATGTACCGGTATGCACTTTTCTTCGACTGTGTACATATGGCATGTTCTTCATAAAATGGACCAAAGCGCAACTCCGCATGTCACTTTTCAAAACTTCTAAACGAGTGACTTTGTGTAAAATACAAATTAGCACCTTCAGATTATGATTATGTGGGGATAATTACATGTAGGCTTACTGTGCACCTTTGTTGGATATTTGATTAGCTACAATGTACCAGTGCAAATCAAATGGAGTTGAATTCATTTAGAGTTTTACGTCAAAGTATTCGCACCACAGGACTTGATTTCAAGACCTCTCAACAGCAAGGAGATTTCAGTATATTTTTCAACTGATGTATTTTAGAGCACCTTAGAAATAACTTTTAAAAAATATAAGCCATGAAAAAAGAGAACAAATTTGACAGAAAATGATAAGAAAAGTTTGGCTCTCTTCATTCTCTTACCGTTTATAATCACTCTCACTATACCAGCACATTGGCCAGGTCTTATACATGTACCTTTCAACCACCGAAAATAATCTTTCAGTTTGGCTGCATCAAAAATGTAAATGAGTACAATATGTTTGTTGTGAACGTCATATTTGACAGAATTTTGATAACGCTCGAGAATTTTGACAAAAAAAGCATGATGTTCGAGAATGCCCGGAGGAGCTCTAGACCTGCATGTAAAATTTCGGAAACAACAGGGCCTGAACCTGTTTCTCATTCTCCCCTCAGTAACATTTTATCAACCTCCACAAAGATTAAAATTTAGAACTCAGAGAATACTTTGTATCATAAGTTTCTTGGTTTTCCCACCTCCACTCGTTTTTTGGGTTTAGGTGTCGTTCTTTCGCATGGTGACTACTGCCAACCCCAATGAGCCAGCGCTCAAGGAGCTGGACTCCCTGCTCTCCAATCTTCCCCACACCTTTGCCTCCACCCCGGGGGCCAGTCTGACCCCCCACAGTGGTCTCTCACCCAAGGTCCCCAGCGGGAGTTCCTCACCCAAGATTGGCAGTGGACACGGGCCAATCACCAAGAAAACAGGCAGTTCCTTGAAAGGTGAATTGTTATTTTGGGCAGTAAAAATGCAAGTGCCCTGGAGAAAACTTTTGTTTGCGAAGAGTTTTTTCTTGGCAAGTATTACACTGATGGCATACATGCACAGTTGGGGCAAAAAGTTTACATACATTTGGTAGAAAACAGTTTTCTTCAATTTTTCGCTGTTTGAAATGGTTTTGCCAGCTTTTTTTTATGAGGTCAGACAAATTGTATCTCAACTTAATATTCATAGTGTGTACTTCAATTGAAAATACTCGGAGAGATTTATTATGGGTCAAAATATTCATATTTCTGAAAAGTAACCCCCCTATTGTGGTTTAAAAACACTTCAGAAAGTGGTCTGCTGTGACCACGAGATGTGACCAAAGTGGCACTAAATATTAGGGTTGGAGAACGTAAAATGTAGATTTTTTGTAAATATAAATATGAATCATATAAAAATATATGTGTCTGGGTGTTTTTATTTGATGCATACACCATGTACATGTACATCCATCTTGTCAGCCCTCATGAAAAGAAAAGTTGGTTGGAATGAGTGAAGTTGTGAAATGTGGGGAAAAGTCTATTTGTTCTACCAGGTGCATGTAGATTTGTTGCCCCAACTGTACGTGAACATGTACATGAACATTGTTCGTTTGTTTTCCATATCTATACTTTTGTCTTTCTCCAATGTATAGTGTATTAATAACACTATAAGTACAGTGTATATGTGACCAGCTCTAGAAAAATGGGTAATAAGTCGCCAGATTCAGGTTATGAGTTTTTGATACGGCTGGATTCTGTACATCACAAGCTACAATTGCTGCGTTCCAGAGATATATGGACATTTGTATGTCTACATTTTTGGATTCAATGAAAGCACTTTTCAAGAAAAAACTCATAAAGTGTAGCACTTAGAAACACAATGCTATGTAGGATTTCTTACTGACTGATCAAGATTTCATCTTTATTCATCAGTATCCATGTTTGTAGTCACAAATTCTATTAATATATATACATGTATGTATATTATAAAAGCTTTATAGGAAAAACACAAAATCACATTTTGGAAGAAATTTTGCCCTGTCCAAATAGAACAGGCCATTATATGTTTTGGCATTGCATAACTTAATACCCTTTTTTGCAAAGTGGGTTACATTTGCATAAAGTAAACTTTATTTATTGCTTTATTATATTTCACACACGCGAGTTTTAGAAATAGAGCACCTAAAAAAAAAAGAGAAAACAAAGATTACACATGAATAGATTACCTGTCATAAGAACATGTATCTGAGAAGGTACCTACAATGCTCTGATGACCAGATGCATAACATGATCTCTCAGGTCCATCTGAAACTGGGCAAGTGTATGTATTATGCTATTGAGTGATATATTACCATCTCCTGTTCTGTGATTTAGGGTCCAAGAAATCCCTCGGTGGCTCCATAAAGGTCGGCCAGAATGCGCAAGATGAAGACGAAGGGCTGGATGCATCCATCTCGCCCGATACTCCGCCGGTCCCCCAACCAGAAGATGTGTTGGTGGTGGCATTTGGGAACCAGGGAAATGAATGCCCCGGAATGCTCTCCGAGGCCAAGGTATGTTCTGTCGCCGAGGTCGTCTCCAACATCCCAATGTTAGACCTTTCATACTGCTCACCAGATGCAATTTACTTCAAAGAATTGTGGGTCAAATATCACTTTACTGCCTTGGGATTTTTTTTTTCAACATGCATTTACATGTAACCCTAAAATAGCAGGGCGGAGGGAGACTTGGGGTCCCCCCTTGATATTTATTTACTATTTCTACTCAAATCTGACAGACAACATCTAGTGATGCTAATATATTTCAGCCAGGCCTGCCGCCTCGTAAAAAAGAGCCCAAATTTTGCGGTGTTACGTAAGTTTCTTTTGTTCACGATACTGGCACAGTGCGCTGCTGACCTCTGTTCAATAGGGGCCAGATTAGCGTGCAGCAGTACTGTGTGGCTCATCACTGTGGTGGTGGAGCGCTTTTGTCCCCGGTGGTAAACTGCTTGCGCAGAACGCCCCAAACCGTAGAATACTGTTTCAAAACAAGGCTGAATTATCTCCACTATTGAGAGTGAAAAAATGTTGGTAATTCCCTGCGGCCTGATCTTTTGTATGAGTATGGTCTTTTGTTACAAGGTTCAACTTTGGAGGTCCCGGCCATGCGTATAAAGAATACGAAACCGGAACCGCAAGTGATTAAGGATTTCTTCTGTAACATCTTTAGGTCATTTTGACATTAATTTTGTCAAAATTGAAATTGTGGTTCTGGCTCAATTAAGAATTCTAAGACAGGTCTGTCAGAAATGCATACTTTTACCACTGACATGCTCAACACATACTGGCCAACACGCTTGAAGCCATGAATTTCAACTGACTACAATATCTAAACCTTGTGTCTGATTGATTTGAAACTGCACATTTGTAATGATACATACTACGTGTAAGTTTCAAAACAATCAGGCATTGACAGCCAAGTTCTTGACTGCTACAGCACCCCACTCCCCAACTGTGAGATGGTCCTAAACAACCCTGGCTCAGTTAGGGTTAAAACTCTGAATGCACAGTGTTACCTTATATTCACCTCTGAGAACTCCCTGGCCATTTTTGCTCTGGAAATACCACGAATCACTCAAATTTTTGTCTCTGTGTGGCTCATCGCTGCGGTGGTGGAACGCTTTTGTCCCCGGTGGTATTGCAAGGGCAATAATAAATTGGACATCAATTTGGATTTATAGTTTTGGTTTTACCGCTATGAATCTATGACATAAAACCTGCCAAACCAGGTTATACGAATTTGGAAGAGTTACATTTGAGGTTGCTTAAGGTATCGCCAAGTCCACTTAGCGATACTTTCCACAAGAATGTATGTATGGAAAAAATCACTCACAATATTGGGTTTTGCTGTTTGCTGCAGGTGTTAAGCTCTAACCCGTCTCGTCCCAAGCCCAAGTTGAGTCCCACGACAGTCCAGGGCAATCTGGCGGCCATCAGCGAACAGCCTGAGAAACAGCTACGATTCTCTGACGATGCCGACGCCTCGGGGAACAGCGATCATCTCATGGAGGCCATGTCCATCGGTGAGTATGATGCATCATAAAGTACACCCCCATCGCTGCTGTAAGGGGTACGTATAGGTAATGCAGTACAAATATCAAGAGTACGTGGATCATGTAACCTTGTTGCCTTGTGATATTTTGACCAATCACAGTTGTGATTGTGCATTGCATTATCCGACCAAAGGTACCTGGCGCAGCTGCTCACCAGAGAAAACAAGTTCTCTTGATGTCCAAGCAACCTTTATCACCCATATGTCTGCACAAGGCATTGTTTACAAAACTACTGTTAAGATTTCTAAAACCCAGTGCAGTGTATTAACTTCGGACATTAATTGGGACAAGAACTTCATTTGTGTATAGTCTTCATACAAGCGCTAGATTTCCTCAGTGTAAAGAGTGTCTGTGAAGAACACAGGGTTATTACATGCCATGCAGTTAGGGCTGTACTGAATATCCAAATATTAAAATAAATATTCGATCGATTATAAAATATTTGAATATTATTTTTCAAATCTGAATATTCGAATGCAAACTTCAAGAAAAGGAAGGAAAAATGTTCTTTTGTTTTAAATGAGAAAACTTGCACCATGGAGGCTTGTAACAAGCAGATTCAAAGAAAAGCGAGAGCAATCTTACAATGATTCAAAAAGTAAATTATTCATCAAACAATTTAAAAGGAATAGAAATTTTCAACAGGGCAAGAAGTACATGTACAGTTCATCTCTTAAATCTTGCTAAATCGTGGCTGGAGATACTCCTAGATTTTCGAAGCTAGTTTATTGATCATAATATACAATTGTGTGTGTTATTGCTACTGATTTTGTATATGGTTTGTTCATCAACAATCTGCCAGTCAGTACAACCGAATATTCGGATATTTGATCAAATGAAGGTTGAATATTCGAACAGTGAATTTATTATTCGAATTGACTCAGCCCTACATGCAGTATTATTTCATTGGTTTGCACGTAAATTATGTTGAGCTGGTTGGGCTGATTGTCTGCTTCATGAGCTTAATGTGTACAAGACTTGCATAATGATGTGTAAAGTGATTGAGAACTCTTAAAGGGGTGTGTGGGTGTCACCTTTGTTGTAACCTCGCACGTTCTGCATGTTTCCTTATTGCCTGTTTGGAAGAACTGTGTTTTTAACTTTCACAATATAGCCAAGGAAAGGCTACGTATTAAACTTGTTAAGATTAGTGTTACATGTTCCCTTTTTGCCGTTTATGCTACAGTGGCCTCAGAGTATTCCGTGGATCTGGAAGGGGAGATGGCTAGTAACCTGAGCGGCCGTAACACGCCGCGGTCAGCGGTCAGCTTGGCCAGCAGCTCCACTGACCACAACCGGCCCGACCTGATCGATTCCACCCAGCTTCCCAACAATGCCAACATCACGGATCGTTTTGGCAAGTTTGAGATCGGGGATGCCCTGGAGAAGAAGAAGGCACAGGGGAATCCCGGTAGGTTGGAGACAGATTGGCATTATGACCTTCGTGAATAAGTCCCTCACAGAGGAAAGGGCCTAAGCCCCAGATATCTATTTTCTACCAACTAGATAGCACATACCCATATAACCCCACAGTGCGCTACAGACATTTGTAATTTGCCAAGCTTGAGAGCAGTATTGGGTAATAATTAAATCTTTCTTGTGTTAAGGATGTAGGAAAATTTTATTTGAAGCCCCAGGTGTAAATATAAAATCACCTGAGTGCATGTACATGTAGATGGGCCTGTAAGAGTTGTGATGCAACAGCCCACTGTGGCTAAGAATTTGGATCTCCCGATGAGACTTTATTAAGCACACAAGTGCAGTTAATCCTCAAAGGGTGTGCCTAGTGACAATGCAGCCCTCTGTCTCTGTGTGCTATCCTGATGATTACCATGGCAGTAGTGTGATGCCACAATCAGCATCAGAAGCCGTCACTGTGGTGGCACGGCGAAAATGGACAGGTGGTACGCGTGCGTTACATGCCTCTTCCACCAATAGGGTATCATAGTTTGCTAAATGCACGTGTGGTGCTACTGCAGTTGTGGCGTGTAATCGGATTTGTGTCTATTTATACTGGAGAAGAGGGTTTGATTTTGAGAATTTAGATTTGAGCACTTTGCACTTCTCTGTTTTAAAGTGATCTGTTCAAAGTGTAATCGGTTCATTGTATGTGGGTCAGATGAAGATAGCAGGTTATGGAGACTGAAGTGTCTGGAAGAAATTTGTGTGTGCTTGTATGCTTTCCAACAAAGAAACATTCAGTGAGACTTGGAGCACGGAGGTGATCGGCAGCGACACCTCGGAGCCACCCTCTGAGCCCAACCCCATTGAGCGCCTGCAGGAGATCGCCGAGTCCCAGGAGGACATTGAGCTGGCCGGGGCCCAGGCCGCCTCCCTGCTGGGCATCCGGCACTCGGCGCCGGACATCTCGGAGACGGCCAGCGAGACCTGGAGCGTAGATGTCCTACAGAGCGACTCGGAGCCGCCCGAGGACAGGATGCAGGAGGTGGAGGACGTGGCCCATGAAGAGGCCATCCAGGTATGACTCTAACTACTGGTCATTAACTTTGGGGGGTGGTTAAAAGTGACATTTATAGCACAGGGTTTATATGATGCACATTATCTAAAAGTATCTGTCCTTCAAAGGCTACAATTTAGTATCAATTCCCTGTCGATTAGGCGCACAGCATCTGAACATTCCCGAGACCATCCCACCTCCTTGAAGAGTGTTCTAACCATGCTGCCATTTTGGCTACAAAGTGCTGAATGCAATATCATCTACTGGTACAACATGTACCTTTAAAGGTACCCGTTGGCTCCTGGTTGAGGACGGTGGGTTGCATAAAAGGACTTTCCCAAGGTCACAATATGTTACCACCTGCCAGGATTCAAACCCCCTCCACCCATTTTTCAGAAGCTACTTGATCACTAGATCACGTCTCCACATGTTGAGGTGTTTTGGGATGGCAACATAGGGAGTAAATTCAAGTTCTTGGAGATGGAATTAGAATCTGACTCTAAAGTCTGCTGAGAACAATTGTTGGCAACGTTGTCAACATTGTCACTGTCGGTTTATTTTGAAAAGTTGCTGTCGTGGCCAGTGGCTAGGTTGTGCCAATTTTTACATCAAAAACCTTGGCTGTGCCCACCGTAACAAGGACAGAAATTGAGGTTCAGCAGTTATAGGTTTTAAAAATGATGATATGGAGAAAACCTACAAGTTGCCCTTTGCTATGGGATGTACTGAAATGTTTACTCAGAATCCTGTTTTTCAGGCTTCCCTGCTAGAGGCTGACACAGATAGGACATCTTCCAAAACCAGCGATGGGCCCAGCTCAAGGCGGAGCTCCTCTGACAGTCCCAGCGTTGATGATGGGGCCATCAAGAAGGATACGGTAAGACCACGAGCGAGTGGATGCTCTGAATAAGGCACTCGTAATTATGACACAGGAGACAGTGTCATTCACATACCTGCCAGCTCTTTTAATTTAATCAGAACTGTCCAGATTTGTAAATTTTCAGACTAACAAAAATTGGAATATTCAGATTTCTATAAGAAGGAAGGAAAAAAAATTGTAACAAAAGAGGACCCTATTTGTATAAAAAAGGAGGGCATTATTTGCTGGTACACTTCAACAACAGTAATGGTATTTGTTACAGACCATACCGCAGGGGCTTGCTTTCTGTGAAAATTATTTTTCTGATATTTCAGGGTTTTTGGGGTCATGCGAGGTTCATAACCTGTGCAGCAGTCACTATGGAGTGAAATTATTAGAAGATGATTCTTTATGACACAAAATGATAATTTAATTGCATGCATGAGGTAGATTTACCCAAGATAAATTTTTTTTTTCTGTCAGAGCTCAGACGCCACAGAAGATTCCAACACCCACTACTTTGACCCTATGGAGGATCCATCCATGCTGAAGGGGTCTTCTCCCATGGGACCATCAAGCAGCTCTTCCTCACAGACCAACAACGACCACCCAGAGGGATTTTCAAGAAAGCCACTGCCGCCGCAGGAGGAGTTCATGCTGAGGCGCTCCTCCCCGCTCGTGGATGACCGGCAGCGGAAGCTCTCCAAGGAGGACCGTCCCTTCTCGAGCTTCCTTGATCAGTTTGATCCCGTGGGGATCAGGAATAACTACACCCTGAGAAGCGGTGCCGAGCCAAGTGGAACTGCACCGGCCAAGCCGGACAGCAAAGCCCAGGAGGACCTCCTGCAGGATTTTGATCCTTTCGCCGCCCTGAGCGCAAGATCATCCAGCACACTTCCGCCGTCGATTGGACGACAGGGAGACATCCCCCTTGGGGCCAAGCCCAAGAAAAGGAGCAATTCCACCCAGAAGATCTCCTCCAGACAGGCCGGATATGTATCCTACAATGAACTCCATGGGCTAAACCAGGATTTTGGTGCCCCGGGGAGACAGCAGCGCAGCAATCCCTTTGATCTCGTCCATGACGGTCTGTCCCATGTCAACCACGGTTTCTTTGAGCCGAGTGTGCCCTCCACCCAGCCTGACCCGTTCCAGCCAGACGTCTTGACTCCATTTGGCAACCTGGACCCTGCGGCACCTGTCAGCCACACTTCCCAGTCGCTTTTTGCCCTACAGCCTCAGCAGCAGAACGCCTCCTACCGGACGCCGGGACTGGACTCGGACAGCGGCATGGTGTCGGCGGACTCCAGCGAGCATCTGTCCAATCGTGTGGTAAGCTCCATCAGCACGGCCAGCAGCAGCAGTGCCTCCTTCCTCAACGTGTCCCTGGAGAGCTCCGCCAAGCCCCCTGACTTCCTCGCCCAGATAGGGGGCCAGGCCTCGGACGACTGGAGCGGGCTGGAGCAGCGCGAGTCCGGCAGGGTACAGAGCTTCCCCAGCACCTCCTCAGGTTCCAGCTTTGGCTTGGGCCCGACTGGATCCACAGAGATGGAACAGAAACAAGGCAGCAATGTTTTGTTCCAGAGGTCAAACAGTACAGATGCCTCCTATCTGATTGATGACAACAAGGCTAAACTAGTAAGTCCAAATTGAATTGTCAGTCGCTAAAATTCTCCTTTAATGTATCTTGTTAATCATTTGCTGATGGCATTTGCTTCAGGTCACACTTAGCCTGCGTGTCATATTGTTTTCGGCCAGGAATAGTAATTTTTTTTACAGCAGCGGGATACCATTACCACAGTCCACAAAGATTGACTTTGCAAATGCAGGTCCTTGATTGTCATCTTTCCAAGATTTGTGGGACCCCTTTTTACTGTTTTGTCAATTTTGCTAACTCTGAGACTGTGTTTTGCAGCCATGTTTGTGTCAGTGCCTGCTAGTGGCTAAGGGTGGGGTGTTTATATGTTCATGCATTAAAATGAAAAAGTTACAAATCCGTTCACAGACTTTCTCAAACGTTTAAACGGAACTGCCACTTTTTAGGGGTCTGACGTTCGGATTGATGCAATCTGGCATTCATTTCTATTGTAAACGATGCCTGTAAAATGGAATCTGATTTTCAGAACACTTTACTGCTCGGTCGTATCAAAGGAATGCCGTGAATTCATCACTGGAACTTTGTGTCAACTATTTACATTGTATACAATTTGTTGTGTTTAAAGTTTTCAATGCCACAGTGGTACAGGTGGGGTGCGAGGGAGCGATCCAGAAGGGGCCCCGGAGGTTTTGCGCGGTAAACCTCGCGGGGCCACTGGGTTTCTCGAGGTTTTTCTCATCGTACTATAATGAGCTCATTATCCACAGGTCAGCGCTCATCGGGCAGCCTCAGTAGAGGAACACTTTTGATTAACCGCCACGCAGATGACCCCAACACACGGACAAAAGAGTAATTTAAGCCTCAAAATAATCTCCTAGTAATCCCATATGTAATTAGATACCTGCCTTCCCAAGATGAGTAAACACCTTTAATCCTTATCTTATAATCCCTAATAGCAGCCACCATCCGTCATTGTCTGCTGTAGCTCTGTTGTTCTCTGCGCTGAAAGCTTCATCCTGTGACCATTCATGCCTGTGAAGTTGACCTGCAGCTCAAAGATTATGCATGTATATTCAAGAGCCATTCATGCAGCCGAACCTCAAAAAGCCTCGAGGTTTCCCGCGCAAAACCCCCGGGCCCCTTTCTGGATCGCTCCCAGAACATGTACATTTAAAGGTTTAAATGGTATGGGAAAGTTTTCGAAATGTTTTTTCAAATTAAACGTAAATTCCCAGCCTTAGCTGTGGCCCGTGGCCATTTGAGGGTTCCAGACTCAACCTCCAAGAACTAGTTTGAGCCCCTGTGCAAGCTTACAAACTTTTGATAGGAATCACTTGCTCATAGGGAGCAGTACACACATAACATGGTACATACAGAATGCGCTGGAACGTGTTTGAGCAGCCTGGTCTTTTGTTTCGAGTACGGTCTTTTGTTACAAGGCCTGGTTCCCTTTGTCTGAGGTCGCAGACCCCGGCCATGCATATAAAGCATACGTGTCCAGATCCGGAATCCCCGGCAGGGAGTGGTTAAGCATCCTCTGTGTTATGACACCTGATATCCCTGCATGTTTACACGTCATCTGGCAAACCAATAAAGTTGTATACATGTCCTTGTTTTTTGCTCCAGGAAGAATTATACAGTTCCAAATTGTCTAGAAAATGTCAGTTTTTATTCCTATTATTTGTAAATAAACTTATCACAACTTCAGTACCATTTTGTAGTACTGTAGAGCATCATCAGATTGAATGAACACATTGGGATCCACAGCTCTACTATGGTACTCGCATTATTACTATTTGATATCATCTCAGAAGATTAAGGTTTTTAGGGTTGTATTCGAGTCCCAATAGAAAAAGACATGCAGGTATGTAAATGGTGACAGTACCGTGTTGCCCATGACAAGATTGCTACTCACATGTACACGTAAATGAGAAACTGTTGTTTCATGTTCTGCCCCTGTTCCATGCAGTTCTTATTCAATTATGACGTAGCGTACCCATCTTGGTTTTTTGTTCCAGGATGTTGGTGACAGTGACAAAAGTAGATCCTGGCTGAAGAAGAAAGTCATTCAAATACACAAAATAGGTGAGTTTTTGGTAGACCTTCAGTTATCTCATGTATTTATTTTTTGCCTACATTTTTGACACAACTCGCTTTCACAGTATTTATCTGGGTAAAACTACCCTCAGCCACATTGTCAAGAGTTCCCAATTTGTTTCGGTAATAATTTGCGTAGAGTGACTCATGGCCACCCAAAATATAGGGTCAGTGAATGACAGCTGTCTATGATATCTGCTCCGAGCTGGAACAAGAGAGAGCGTGGGTTTTACACAGTAACGACAGTCCTTTGGATGAAACTCACGGCCTGCAGGCACGGGTTCACTCATGTCTGGTGGAGGTCGGGCATGACCAATTTCCGTTTGAATGCATGGTCATTGCGAGTGTATCAGTTGTACTCAAGAGGCTGGTTGAAAACCTTTCCTCTGGTCTGTTCTTTTCTGTGCTTGCGAAGATGCACTTCAACTGGGAGGGGGGAGCAAGATATATTACTTGGGACACTGTGAGATTGATTGCTTCAACTGTTTGCTCCACAGCGGCCCGGAAACCAAGCAAGAAACATGGAACCGTCGCAGAGCGAGAAGACCGGGAGAAAGATCGCGAGTGGGAACAGGAGAAGAAACACTCGGAAGTCGCTCAGATCATCCCAAACCTGGCTCTGGTGCAGCACACATTCAAAGGTAAAAACACTGGACCCACATGAATCCAAGGGCCGTTTTCCAATACTCAACTTCGGCTCTGTCTCAGGCTTCGTTCCCAAACTGTCTCTCCAGGCCGTACTTAGCTAATTCTTGAACCCACTGCATTATTAAGCCAGCCTTTCCTTAGCCTGCTAAGTAATGATTTGCAAATGGACTAAGCGTTTTGTTTCACTAATCCGTGTGTATGTAATGCTCTGTTCTCACTAGGACAGGCTGGTTTCATTGGTACAGTACATGTAAATCCATCAACATTAACAGATACCAAGACCTCACATGTATTTTAACAATATGTCTCATGTGTGGTCACTTTGTGTTTGCCAACTCGAGTGACTTGTATTCCACATTACCACGGCAACACACAGCCGTACCTGCTCCTTGCAAAGTCCAAAGATCAAAAGATTTATTGGCATCTGTACCAGTCATACTGTTGCTTGCAATCCAAAAGTCACGGCAAAAATACCTCAGCAAAAGTGCTGGCACTTGTGATTTAGATGTTGAAAGTAGTGTATATTAAATATTTGAAGTAATGTACGTGCACGTATGAAATAGCATTGTAAGATTTGTACAGTGGTGAGTTGTGAGCTATGTTGAGTTGGGTTTGGCTGGGTTGAAAACTGTTAGACACGAGTTGCAACACAAAGAATAGAAACTTGGATAAGCTAGTTTTTGCATGTGCACTTGTACATTTCATTCGTACAGTGCTAATTGTTCATCTCTTGAAGTGTTACATTGAATTCAATGGAACATCTTGTAGATTAAATTGAAATTGTCTGTAGGAAATTGTCATAAAAATGTACTGAAACAGTTATTGTATTGGGGGTTCACATGAGGTCAATTAGAAGCAGTAAGACGGAGGCATTATTTTGGAACCCATTTCATGCAGATGACGGGCTGAAAGCTGCTTCGGTTCCTGAAACCAGTAGTGAAGACATTCTGAACAAGTACCGTGGCCTGCAGCGGTCACAGTCATCAGAGCTACTGGAAAGTGACCACCTAGGACATGGTGAGTAGGACGATAGTTGGGTCATCCGGAAAAGGGCCTTTCTGCATCGTTTTCTGAAAGGTTATCCCACAGAGAAGTGGTATTAGTTTTCTAAGTGTAAAAAAACTAATGTGGTCACTCAGAATTCTTCCAGATTTCCTGATTTTGGACCATAACACTGCAGATTTTTCTAGGATTAACAACTTCTTGCTAAGTGGAGTTTGCACAGTTGGGATGCATTGCTGTGCGATTATTCATGATTTTTCTTTTCAAAATTGTTAAAAAATTCATTACTTCATTTACTGGACATTTACACCCACACAAATGACTGTCTAGTGGCTACTCTTATCTGACAGGCAACCTCCATTGACACCGAAGTATTGCAGCCAGGCCTGCCGCCCAGTAAAGAGAGCCCACATTGTGCAGTATTACGTACTTTCCTTTGTTCTGGAAATTGGCCCAGTGCGTTGGTAGATGGCTGTGTTGTCTTTACAAATGCGGCCAGATTAGCGTGCAGTGGTATTGTGTCTCTCATTACTGGAGTGCTGGAGTGGTTTTGTCCCCACTGATAATACGCGGGCGCTGAATGCGGCAAACAGTGCTATATTGTTTTATAACAATGACGGATTATGCCAGCGTTCTTGATTGGCAAGTCCCAGCAGCTCGGTCTTCTGTTCCGAGTTCAGTCTTTTCTTACAAGGCCCAGTTCTTTTGTTCCAATGTCGGGCATCCAGCCATGCTTATACGGCCAACGTCTCCAGTACCGGGCACCCAGCGCTGAGTGGTTATTTATTAATATTTGCAATTTTTTCATTTGTGCCCAAAAAACTAAGGGCAAGATTGACATAGCCTTTCGGGATAGAACTTTGTGCTTAATAGCTATCAAAGCTATAATAGCTATCATTAATTGCCCTGACAAATTGTGCTATTTTATTTCAACAATCGCTCTGCTAGGTGTTTCCCGGCTTTGTCATCTTCCCCCAATCTCATTCCTGAAAGCTTGACAAGGAACAAGCTTGTATTAACTTCTTAGTGTCGTCCATTGTCTAATAACGTAGTAATGAAATATTTGAAAGTACCTTTGACAGAATTTTTACACATGATAGCTGCTGTTGCCTTTTGCACCTGTCAAAAGTTTTATAATTATGGCTTTATATGTGAACCTATATATTGATGCATTTGTTGAAATTTGCATGCAGTTATTGATACTGTTGGCCATTGATTGTTATTTGTGGAAGGGAGTGAAAGTTTAATTTGTATTTTGTGGGCAGAGTTGAGCAACTTGGAATCGTCTACTGAGTCCAGCGGCAGCCGCAGCTGCGACAAGCCCGACTCGGGTGGTGGCCTGTCGGACCCACCGGACGTGGAGCCGGAGAACCTGGAGGAGTCGTATGCCTTCCTGGATGCCAAGCGCAAGCTGCGCATCGTCCTGCGTTCGGCCGATGTCCACAGCCTGCCCTGGCTGACCAACCTGCGCGTGCCCGAACGGGCCGCCTCGGAGCGGGCCCTGGGCATCTCCCGGGGCTACCCGGAGAACAAGCTGGTGGCCTTCCTGAAGGTGCAACTGGCTGAGGCCATGAATCTCCAGGACAGGTCCTTGATGGCCCAGCTGAGAGAGACTCTAAGATGCATTCAAGCCTTCGATAATGATGGGTGAATACTCCTTCATGTTCCATTAACTTTTTTCCAGGATTCACTGGCAATTTGCTGTGTGTTCACCGTAACCCTGCCATCCTTATGCAGCGTAGTGCAGAAGGTATACACATATAAATAAGATACACTTTGTTGCACCGGGCAAATCACCCACAAAAACTTCCCACGTTGAGACTATAAGAGTCGGTCCCATTGAACATCGCGACTGTTGGAAATTGTGGTGGCTGGTAACCACGGACTCCAATGCCGTTTGGCCTCGGTCAGCCTGTTGGATCTGGTTGCACTGGGAAGACAAGCCACTTTGACTAAAGATGCAGACTGATGCGTCTGGCAGGATTCCTAGCGAAAATACCCCAGGGGGTTAGGATTAGAAAATTATAAAGATCAGTTAGTTTGGAGGAATGGCATTGTAGAACAATGATTGTGCTATAACTTGTACATAGTTTCGGTATTATCCCTTACAAAATTGAAGCATGTCCATAATATTTTCAATGAGTAATATTTCTATCCTTGAATTTGTTTGAGATTGGCAAAATTAAGTTAGTATATTACTTTTAATAGATTTCTTTCAATCACTTCTAAGAAGTTTTTTAATCCAGAGCAGAGCTTATTTTGATTTCCCCTATGTCTCCATTTACAGAAGTGCTCACATTAAAATTTGCTTCTTTGACAGAATAAACCGTGCCCCCCAAAAACTTGGTGGTAACTTTCCAAAGGTGCTCTAATGAACTCTTCATATACATTCTATGGAATATGTTTGGAGTAGGAGACAACTTGAAATGTGATCTGCTAGTAGGCTGTAATTTTAGTGCTTACCAATCAGTTAATCAGGAAAATTGTTAGTTCTGAAATTGTAGGCTGTTCACCTGCCCAGTTTTGATGGTAGCTTTGTGAATAAAACACTGTTAGTTTTTGTTTCTGTTTGAGCAGGTGTGGAAGGCTACTTGCCTGCTTGAGGGAAGACTATGAGAACCGCGCACCGTACATAGCCTACCTGGTACGCAGTCGCAAAGGGCTGGCCTCCTCACGGGCTCACCTTCACCGACTGCTAGACAGAGTGGAAAGGTAGGTTGATTGGAATTCGGTGTGTCGCCCAGTGCCTCTGAGATGCCTACTCTGTTGGATTGGGTTGTCATCTCAAGTTTGACCATGGCCACCAGCTTTTTTCTCCCCTACCACAATCGACCTATTATCAGTTTACGTATCTCCTTAGACAGCCCCCATGGAATTTCGTACATTGAGTTTCGTTTGTCTCAGATATTGGCATGTTGCGTCCTGTATCCATTTTGTATATCATGTATTAATTGGACGGTATTTCCCAAGCTGCATGGACGCGATACCACTGTGATTGGTCAGTCAATACCACAACACTTGTCTGACCATTGTCGTCGCGGCCATTCAGATTTGCTATTCATATTTTCCAGCAGGAATAAATTTGTTATATTAATCTGGGTGCTGCCTCTCCCACAATTAAAATAAAGCTCCAGGATGGTTTCTCGTGCACTGTGGTAGTTCTAGCCCGTGTATGTCACTTTTTCATTTGTTCAGGGACAAAGCAGTGGTCAACAAGTATTTTACGATGGTACTGGTGCGTCTTTTCCTGGAGAGACAAGAGAGGAGTGTTTTAAAATTTATTGAGGACTTCAAGGCCCTCACTGCTGCCGATGAGAAGGTCAGTGAACCCTGTTTTGATTGTGTGACATAATTGGTCATCTGTAGCTCGCTGGGCAATTTTTGCCAGGAACCCTTTGTGGTCCTCAGTCCATCTTGAGTCTTTGGTCCTATGAGGTCCTCAGTCTGTCCTGGGTCCTCAGTCTTCCTGTGTCCTCGGTTTTCTTGGACCCACCAATGGATAAAGCTGGGTTCCCTTTGTCATGGAAAATCCTGAAAAAGCGGCCTGAAAATCATGGAATAATCATGCAAAATTCAGGGATATTGGGGTGTTTTGGAATCCTGGGGTTACAGGAAAAGAGGAATGGAAATCAGGATCATGCAAGGGCTATTTTTGATGGACTGTCTGTGATGTGACAACAGAATAATGCAATGATTTACAGGCTTATATCCTTGTCAGTCTATAGTGCAGTCATTTATAAAAGTTTAAGACCACCTGGAATTTTACTGGTATTTCTGTCACTGGGCCTGCATTATATTGGCCCTATTGAATGATTATTGTTGTCCTACTGAATGATGTTTTTACAGTGGTGCATAGCATCAGTGTAGTACTATATACCCATTTTAATGAAATTTTTTGCAAAGACAGGTCTTGTGTGACATTTTGTCTGTAAGGCAGCATGGGTAAAAACAGCCAGTCTAAGTAATCAGAACTAAAGGAGGGCGCACGAAATATTAGACTGTTAACATTTCAAATCCTGGAAATGTAGTTACATGTAGCTGTTAAACCAAGATACTAAGGTTATACATTGAAAATAAACATAACTTGCTATGATGGATTGGTTTAAGTTTGGTTTTTTGTCAGGTGAATGCATTTTGTATTGGTGGTCCTAAACTTTTGCAAATGAATGTAGTAACTGTGGGCAGGCTTCCAACTCATGATACCTAACCGCAGCAACCTTTCTCTCCAAAATGTTGTGGAAATTGTTCTATTCTGTCCTGGACGTCAGTCCTGGATGTTGGTCTGCTGATCTCTGTGTGAACCTTGATAGGAAACCAAACCCGGTTTTCCATGTGCTTCAACTTTTAAGGGGCTGAGAGGAATAACGGTGGATAGGTTTTACCTTCCTGAAGTCTGGAAAATCCTGCCAAAAACCTCCTGGGGGATTTTGAAGGACCTTGTGGGGTTAGGGTTAGCCTTCTTGCGTATCTTTACAGTGTACTTCATTAATATGGCTTTTATCTGACTTGATTTATCTGCAGACCCAACTTGTGAAATTCTTCCTTACGACCCTCAACAACTGGATAATACAAGATCCTATTTGGGAAGGTATGTCAAGATGAGTCTCCTTGAAGAAAAAATACTTTAAAGAATTTTCTAAGAGTCTTTTATCGAGAATTTTGGAAGCGAGAGAACTTTTCAGAGTTAGGTCCAACTTCATGTAGAAGGCAAAGCTCATGTGATATGGCAGTTATTTATCTTTTTTTTACATTTTCCATCTTAAGGCCCCTGGCCTTGAAAGTCACATGAAGTTTGAACAGGGCCGAGTTTTGCATTTACACAATAATGTGAAGAGTTCATGTCATACAACTGTTGAACATTGAGCCCATCTGGTATTCCATTAGCGCATGTCCCAAATGAAGAGCGTCAGCGATCATTCAGGAGCAGCAGTACGCTTGCAGGAGGTCTGCCTGCCAAACGTGGCTGCACACTGACTCACACACATGCGGTGCTCTCCAGCGATGTTGCCTTTTTGGTGTACCGAATTGGCTCATTGAAGCAGAATGCAGATATAAACGATGATAGTGTTGATCTTGATAACATATTATCAAATTGGGCCGTGGAAAAATGAGGCCTAAATATGCACAAAATCTAATGTCAAGAGGGTTTATTTGGAATATGAATGTTCCTATTGCATCAGCCGCCAGCGATGCACAGATGAACGATGCAGAGGTAGCAACAGAACGGGCCATCATGAGCCGCATCTACAAGCTGGCTGTCTACCCCAACGACGAGGCGGACGTTGCCAGGGACAGGTAGGCAGACTAGAGCCGCATTCTCTCATCTCGTCGTCCAGGGCTAGGTCTTTGCCCATAGTGAAATGCACGACGGAAAACACTGCCATAGGTCTTAGAAGCCTGTTCTAGACATGGCCTGACAGAGCCCAATGACAGTGGAGTCTGTAGACCTCTCGGCAGCATTTTGAAGGATGGCGCGGGCTGTGCGTGAACTCAGTTTTTGGATTGTGAAAGCGTTAGTGTTTTGCGCCTTGCAGTGTGACGCAGGTAATGTACTTGGGTTTCTTAAACAGGGATCCAAGATTTTCTAAAAAGATGAATGTATAATCTTTAAGTTCCAAATCTAAACGATTGCATTTGTGACCCACTCTGTGAAAATGAGTCTTAAGTTGCCAGAGCCACTTTGGAGTAAAAAGTCCTTTAGAATAATTTTGCACAGTGCAAATCAGTAGGATCCCACGGCATTTTTCACCATGGAGTATCCACTGTCATCAGGATGCCAAACTGAGTGATACATCAAAACAAAAAACTCAATTTGCTCTTTCCAATACAAATGAAAACTCAAAAAGTGGCTCTGGTGACTTATGACTCATTTTCACAGAGTGGGTCACATTTGTTAGTGGGAGAGCAAAGGCCAGGAGATAATTAATTTCATCTACAGGATGGCTTGATTTGTGTAAAATTTACATTCTTTTCTGGTTCATCTGGAGCTGTCCATTAATTGTGTTTATAAATCAATTTGGACTTGTAAACCTATTACTGTGGGTTTTTTTTCAGAGAACTGTTATCAATAAAGTGATTAACTAAAACTGAAGATTGTGTTCTGTTATTTTTATCCCGGTGAAATTTTTTTCTTTCATTGCTATTCATATTTAAGGGTTCTGCAGGCTCACATCTTCAGGCTGTCCAGAGTGATCACTGTCAATCACAAGGCCCTACAAATCCCGGAGAAATACGGGAGGGAGGCCCCCTGGCCTGCCGCCCAGGCTGAGATACTCAACATTAATGTCTACAAGGTGCGCACAATTACGCTTCAGTGCATATTCAGTAAACACGAACCAGTAAACAGTAATTGTATTGTGAGGTAGCATAGTTTCCACGTGCAGATATCTATCACTGTTGACCTTCAGAGGGCAGCATCTTCATTATCTCTGCTGATGAGGCTCAGGAGATACTCTACAGACGACCCCAGGTTTTCAAGGAGTTTACAGCATGATTTAGGCACAGATGATTTTTTTTTACTCAAGTGCAGATCTTGTGCTCATTTTTTTCAGTTCTGTGAAAATGAGTCAGTGTGCATTACATGTACAAATTGAAAGGCAGAGTGGAAATCAGTGAGTGGTAATAAAGGCAGGTATCTTTCAGCCGCAACTGAAATCACAAGTCTGGCACCCAGTCAGTTTTGGATTTTGAATGCTAAGGAGTTGGAAGATATGCTTTAGTTACAGTCCATTTGAGCATCTTTCAACGTTCTGGAGACCTACTTTGGGAATTAATGAGTTGTGATTGACTTTTGATTAAAGAGATTTTGAGATGGTGTGGGATGACTCTAGTTTTAATATCACAGAAGTTACCTTCTAAAGAAATTAGGAGTGCGTGTAGCCTTAGTGTGTGATTAGGAGTTTCATAATGCATGGTGCATGTTGACAAATATAGGCCATGAACTATTCCGGGTATGTATAGTGTACATCAACCAATCAGAAACGTGCATTGTGCTAGGTCTTATCGCTTTGTGTAGGGTTTGCAAATTTCTGATTCCTGTTTGCTGATCTCGTTTCCAGACACCCAAAGACAAGCTAGGCTGCATCTACCGCTGTTGTAAGATCATCATGAACCTCCTCAGCCTAGCCAATGAAAACTCGGCCGTCGGCGCCGACGATTTCTCGCCAGTGCTCATGTATGTCCTGATCAAGGCCAACCCACCTAGTCTCCTGTCCACTGTCCAGTATGTCAACAGCTTCTACTTTGAAGGGGAGCAGTCCAGGGAGAACGGGGACGGGGAGGAGCAGTACTGGTGGATGCAGTTCTGTGCAGCCATCGAGTACATCAAGACGCTGGACGACAGGAAATAAAAGAGCGGTACGCGCTCTCGCTTTCCTGTGACCCAACCTTTAAATACTCTCAAGTTGGGTCACACCTTGAGGGATGACATACCGCGCTTCCGCTTCTACCACTTCCAATCCCTTCCAGTTTTGGATGAATTAGAATGTTCTATAAAAGTTTGACACTGGGGAGGCATCATTTGAGGGAGGGATGGGCAAAGGTTGATCCTAGGACCAAAGTTTAGTTTTTTGGGGGGCCCCTAAAATTCTGTAAATATTTTTAGTTAACGCTTTGCGGCCTTTCTGAGGGTGAGGCTGCATTTTGGTGCTTTTTACATGCATTGGATGAAAGGGAAAGAATTCCCCCCCCAACTACATGTATTTGGCTTTGTTTTGTGGAGGGGTCTATGGCCGTCCTGTTGGCCTCGGTGGATTTGACCTTGGGGTTGGGAAGCCTGCGTCAGTCTCCTCACTGTTGGGAAAATGGAGCTGATGTGAGGAGTGCCACCAGGTGTTGTTAGTATTCGCCTTCTTTGGACATGTTAGCCCCATTGTTTTGCTAGTTACCTCCCCACACCCCTATGCCACTCTCTTGAGGCATTTAAGGGTAAGTCGCCCAAGGTCACATCCAACATCACACGTGGCACAGTGGGAAGAACGCAGGTGTGTCTGGGATGTGTTCCCTGTAGTCCAAGTGTTATTACAGTAGTGTTTCATAGGTCAGGGGAATTCTGTGTTGCCTGGCTAGGCCTCCCGACAGCTTCATCAGTTTCAAATCTTTACTCCAGTGTTAGGCAGCACAGCTCTCCAGTAACATAAGAAAAGGTTCCATAATTTCAGCTGGTTCTGATCAAAACTTAGGTTTTTAACATTTGCCAATAGTATCTTCACTTTTGTTGGGATTGGATTCAGTAGAGTATTGCTGTTTGTTTGATTGTGATAAACATTGATTTAGCATACATGTAGCTTTGTTGTTATATTTTATATCATTGCATATATCTTTTAATTTCTATCAAAGAATGTCTATAGAGTGGGATTGTATGTACATTTGTATTTTATTCCTAGGTTCAAGTTTCAGAATATTGATTTTCGTGATTCGTTTATTGTCTGTTGTATCTTTCTTGGACAACTTGCATTTTTCATTTATTCGTTGCAAGTCCTTTTGCAGGGGTAAAAGCAGGCTTTGTGAGGTTTAAGTTAGGATGTTGGTACCATACGGTATACATGTCGATTTTTCCCCTGGGTCAAATTTAAGGGGAAAATACCAAAGTCTCCCCTATACGTCTCTGTGCTTAGCTTTCAAAGATGGTATTTCATGTATATTCAGAACATTGTAGCACACAATTTGTCACGCATTACATGCACACCTCTTTACATATGTAAAAAAAATCCTATCTGGTTATATCTTGTCTACCATGTATGAATGTGCTTGTTTCTTTCTGAATTATTGTGATTAAGTCAAATTCTTTGGATGAGTGTCAGAGTAGATACGAAAGCATAGATTGTACTCGTAGGCGTGCATATACCTGCCAAGCTGTCGTACTCCTCCCTGAGGTCAGGCATCGCCATATAATAGATTAGAATTATAAATGAACCGAGTGTTCATCTAAATACCTTTTAATGTATTGTGTGGTGATGCCTGACCTCAGGAAGGAGTATGACAGGTTGGCAGGTCAGCATGCATACCACAAAATGTTTGTATATGTAGTATGGACTTGTATTAGGGGCTTTCCACAAAGTACAGGTGTAAAAATGTTGCTTTTTAGATCGTCCCATATATCATCCCATATTGCCCTTTGATTTTTCAGAACCGTGGCAACGGTAATGGTGCTATCCAAATAGTTCGGGTGAAAGATATCACGCTGTGTTTGTTGTCAAAGCTTGCCCCAGGAGGTACCAGCGGAAGTTGGAGAAAGTGCATTCAATTCATGCCACTTTGTTGAGCTAGTCTTCTCCAAGACATTGGATTTTTTTCATGCTCTCCAAATTTTTTGTCGGGATAATCCTGATTCCGGGATTTTTCAAACAACCTCCTAGAAAAGCTGGGAAATCCTGGCTTCCATGCAATGGAACCTTTGCTGCCGTGGGGCCCTGAAACCCTCTGGAAATTGTTGTCATGGATAATTGTTTCATTTTCCTCCAGTCTCAGCCCTGCTGAATGGGTTGACACAATGTCAAAAGCCCCTCTCCCTATACATCCATACATACTTTATGGAAAACTCCTTTTTTTAGTAATTGGCATGCTTCAGAATTCTTTTGAAATAGTGAACAGGGAATGGCATGCCCATTTCAGATAATGAAGTAAGTACCTCTAGTTTAATTCAGTTCTGTGCCAAGTGCTGCAGCCAGTATTAAAACTGTATATATAGCAACCATGCTCATGTCTGTTTGTGCTGATGGATTGATATCCGGGGGAAATGAAAGCTTTGGTATATGTAATTTAGAAAATGACTGTACATAGTGTGTTGTAAACTTGTCACTGATAAATGTATATGATCATGTGTCAGGGATTGGAGACTCGTAAGGTTTGGTGTGATTTTGTGTGATTTTGACAGCAAAGACCAGATTGTGTATAAATGTACTGTACATGCCATCACAGGGCAGAGTTTAAGCTGAAAGTCACGTACGTTTGAATTATGATTGTGGGCTTGAAAATATGTGGTGCGATAATGTTGACTCCAAAAGTGCAGATCAGTGACTACCAAACCGTACACTTACAGTGCTTGACAGTTGTGAAATTTGCCTTTTTGAAAACGATGAACCAACAAAACTGACTGGAGCAGGATTTGAGCCTACAACTCCTGTCCATCATGCCAGCACTGTGCTGTCTGAGCTGTCTAGTTAATTATTTAGACTTGGCGCCTGCATGGTTTTGGCAAATGGTGACACCCTATTGGCATGATTGGTGTTGTTGTGCAGGTGTACCACCTGGCCACGAGCATTGTACCAGCACGGTAATGGCTTCCAATTCATTGCTGAAAGTAGCTAACCCCAATATTTTTACGCACACCAGAATTCAGTGGATGCACAACATTGTTGTATACAATGGGATTTAGCAGTCAACACAAGTGGAAGGTTACACTGTGTCATAGAGGGTTTGCATGGCTCTCATCTTGCAAGCCTCTGCTTTTGTGCCACAGGGTGTGCACGAAGGAGGCTTCCCAGTGGAACAAAAGAACTGCCCTGCAAGATGGCTGCCACGCAAAGCCTCTGTAGTGCATAGGCCAGTGTATGTCCCATCCTGGAGGAATAAGAACCCTCCACAATCTCATCCACTGCTGCAGTGCTTCAGAATCCACTCCGACGCTGTAGTCACACATAGTGGGGATCTTATTTTCAGTGTTGTTGCAGTTCAGTGCATTTGGCAGGTTGCTGCAAAATGCAACCAGCTGGCCTGGAACAGGGCGAATGCACAGTGCCATGGCTGAAGTTTAATCAGTGAACTGTGCAGTGTAAAAAAATCCACTGTTGGGAGTCTGGTTTGCTGCAGCAGAGCCATTGGGACTGTCAGAGTGTGAGTGAGAGAGAGAAAGCCCATAGGGGGTCATGATTATAGTAATTATATTTCATGTCAAAAGATATGTCATGTAATAGCTCTTAGGTATGCAATATGTCATGTCACATTATATACCATGTCATATTATATGGCATCTTGGCCCATGAGATGCAAATTATGACTGCTTCTTGTGCAGTTGCTTGGCCTCTGCATTTGCATCATGAAAAGATGTGGCAGTTGATGTTGAAAATGTTCATGTCGATTAAACTGCAAATATTTGATTTGATTGGTGTCTACAGCCTGTAGCTTAGCCTTGCAAGTGTTGTCTTCAGATAGGTTTGTAAAAAGTTTGAATCAGCAGTCACATCGTTAGCACTGTAGTTTCAGAGTGTGACATGAACCAAATGTATAAAGTGATCATTTTAAGTTGAGCTTTCTCATGGAAATGTGTACAAAAGGTTTATTGGATTGGCCAAAGCTGATGTACGTGTAGAAGTCTAAAGCAGATTGATGTTCCTGTAATTTCTTGCAATTCATAATTTGGCAGATAGACACGAACAGAGACCAGTTGTGTACTGTGGATGTTTTATTAGCCATTGTAACAATTTTCAAAAGATTTTTTCTAGGAGGTTTTGGACAACATTTGTTTTGTCGTGAGTTATATGAATTACAATTGATTTTTTTTTCATTTCTCTCTAGGGTTCCGGGGTCAGACTGTACACGGACGTACTGAAGAGTTGCATTTGAGTAAATGAGACTTTCCCGGGTAACTGAGTCCATCTTGGAATGTTCCACAATCGACTTACACTGAAGCCAAGATATTCACAATGCATCCGAACTGACACTCATTCTCAGACTGTTGTGAACAAAGCGTTGTCCAGATAATGACGGCTGATTTCCGGGTTGTTGCTGCTGCATTGTGTGTTGAGACGGGAGGGGGTATGGACCATAACCTGACAGCTGTAATGACCACGGAGTGAAATTTAGTAAATTAGGTACAGACTTGGATTAGCATTCATAGCCAGTGGATTACTTCATTAGATCCAACACTGATTTTTTTTTATATTATGTCAGATGTATTTTATTGGTTGTTTTGATTGAATATGGCTGCAGTCATTCATTTGATATCAGAGAGAGTAATTTTTAAAACGTCAAATAAATATCAAAGAATGTTACCTAAGTTTGCGTTTGGTGATAAAAAAATTATCCACGAAGTGTGGAGTCGTGTACCGATTGTTCAGGAATTTCTCTTCGAATTGGCCTTGCATTTATTAATCACCGTGAAATAAAAGCGCACCCCATTGCTGTGTTACAGGTTGGCAACTGGTAACTTACATTGACAAGATATACAGTAGCCTTTTCTCCCCTAATGCACATTATTGCACGTAATAGGTTGGATTTTAAGTCCATTTATTTTTAAAATCGTTACTGGCTGTCGTCCCATAAAAGTCCTTTGGTTTGTGTTGATTCATTTTCTATTTGTATGTTTTAATAATTTTATTAAGGGAATAAATGTATTGGATCGGTCTTTAACAGTTAAGACTGGGCAAAGAACATTTATTCCCATTTATTAATACATTAGGCCTATGTTTCAGTTAGAAAGTCGGAACAAGTTTTAAAAATTTGTTCGACAGTATTACTTAATTTCTGTTCAACACGCCTCTATCGATTTTCCGCGAGCCGGTGCTTTGTAATTTTTGTAAGACTGGCCACGTCTCGGGCTCTCGACCATTACGAACAGCTGAACCATCTTGGGTATAATATACAATCTAGCAAAATTTTCCCTGCCTTTTTTTTTGGCAGGAGGTGGTTCAATCGTCTCAAGGAAGTGAGGGCGCATTATGATCTGCACTGTCCACGGCCGTGGTTCAGAGATCATGAGCGGCTTCCACGTACCGTACGGGCCCGCGCTCAACAAGCAGAGCGGTTATCGAACTTCAGTCGCTACGTCATCACAGCGAGTATTCCCAAGATTAGCTTCAACAATATTATACATGTACCACACCTACAAGGCCAAGGCCAGCGATGTTTGTATTGTTTGTTGGCCTGCGCTTACGGTTCCAAAGCATAATCATTTTGCCAGTTGAACTACCTTGAATGTAATTAAAGCGTACATATGATATGTGTAATTGATGGGATAAAATAATGCGAGCTTCATGTTTTTCCTGCACGGGGATTTCGCAATTTGCCAAACAGTCTTTAATAACTTCAATGACGTCCACATGTTTTCACTAGTAGTATGCGTCGAATTCGGCTGCCAGATTTGAAAGGACGACGCTATTTTCACGATCGTACGTCGCCGTGCTTAAGGTAATACGGTGGCCGATGTGGGACACATAAGCAACTCTGTACATTGAACTGCAAGACAAAACATAAGAACTGAAAGATAGAAATGAAAGCAGGGTTGGATCTGTTGGGATCGAAAGCCCCTGCTCTGAGACGAAAGGTAATAATTGTTGGACAATAATAAACAGTTATTAAAATAAATTTAAAAACGCGCTCAACAGTACCATTGCAAGCAATGTGTGCCATGTAATGTTTCATCGTCCTTGCCGCTTGTCCGTAAATGTGATATTTAGAAAAAACACTCCGGCCTACCCCATGGAAAAATTCCTGTATCCACCCCTGGAATGATAAAATAAAGTGGCCAAACTCAAATTAGTAAAATGAAGTAAAGGGATTAGGCCAATGCAAAAATATGTCAATGAAATGTTCCACAGGTGTACAGGTGTTCCAGTGTCGTAATTTTGTTCTGGAGACTGGGTGCAGGGATGGAGGATGACGTAAATAACATTTTTAAAAATGCCTAACGGGGCGCTGTTCAAGATACGTCTTTTACATTTTTAATTGGTATACTTGACACCCACCCTACCTTACATCAAATAGCTTATTGAAAACCATTTTTTTTCTTCATTTTTTCAATTTTTTTTCTGTGCTAACGAATACATGTTGATTGTTAGGAAGTTCGAAATCGAAAATAAGGAAATCAGCAAAAACGTCCAGTCGAATCAGCTTTGCTAATTGAATGACGATTGTGCGTCACGGAAAAGAACGAGGATGTCCTAAATTGAACAAGAAAAACTTCTAAGAGGAATCCAAATAACTGAAATCAAAATTGAGTACCTGAAATATAAATTTGAGCAACAGTAAAAACTTGAGTGGAAAAAACGGTTGTAATTCCAACGCATGAAAACTTAATTGGCTGCTCTTTTGCCGAAACTGACCTGGAAAACCTATACAGAGAACACAAGCTTACCAAACTTGATTTGGAAAAGTTCAATAATAAAGGAACAGGAACAATAATCAATCAACCAAAACCAATTAATCCAATGAGTCATTTTCGTTATTATCAAAATAGTATTTTTTCCGGTGGATTAAACATAAAAAACCACCTGGAGTGGACGCAAGCATCCGAAACATGGGAGGGCGTACTCATGTTAGTGTGGAAAGCAACCCAGAACTATTTACGCTATGCTTCAACCTCGCCCTTAGTGCGAGTGATTTTTGCCTCTGCTAAAATAGAGCAAATGATGCCTGCGGCACCTCAACAGGAACCAACCAATTCACCCATTTTACACATTTGAGGAGCTTTGCTTTGAACGCATCACCCGCACATTTGTACGAGTATTCTTGGTTTGGGGGTCCGACGGGGTCCCGCTTCGCGACTTCAAGCCAAGTTTCTCCCTCCAGAGGTCCCGGATGCGGTGGTTGCAGCCAAAAAAGAAAAAGATCAAAGCCCCCTGCAGAGAGTTGAGGATGACGAAGAGGTACCAGAGGACCTCATGGTTGATGCGGTTGGCAAGGCAACCGAAGATCCACGTGAACCCCATGACGCCAGAAATCTAAATGTTCAGAAAGAGTAAATGCTGATTAGCACGATTTTCTAAACTTTCCAATTTGCTTCATTTACCTTTACTACATGTAAACTTAGAGTCTTGTGCACTTTCAGAGGCAGGTGCACTTGGCACGTGCTGGGTTTTAAAAAAAGCCTCTTTCATTGAGATGCAATGGGGCATTTCCCCGGGAAAGTTAGATATTTTTCTTTTGTGGTAGTGAATTCATGTGCTGTTAAGGGTGGAACTGGCATATCAAGAACCTGTGGTCAGTGACTGTGCATTTAATCTTCTTTTTATGTATGGCCTGTAGTTTATTCGGCGCCCTGAAGGAGCGAAAGTTAATAATTATGCAGTCCGCAATTCCACATCGTGTCCTTGCCCTGATGGCACCAACATCCACTACAACAAATAGTCTTCTCGAGTCCACATTTCACTTCTTCGACAAGGTTATGCACCTTGATTAATGCCTGAGTGTAAATTGTGAAATTGTAAACACGGGTTTGTGTATAATCCATGCTAATTCCAGGTGTTGCAGCGGTGAAGAGTAATTACAACGTGTCATATTTATTAATGGCGGAGCAATATGTAAAAACCGTTAGTTCAGACACGGACCGTCGCGTTAGCGCTGTTCTAGAACTTTCTAACGTGTGTGTCCCTTTTTCGCTGCTGGATTTCAGCAACGCCCAGGTGAGGAAGTTTGCTCCTATATTCTCGATTTTAACTTTCTTCGGTTAAGTGCCCCTCTTGACTTACACCATCGGGACCATTAATCACCTTAGAACATGTTAGTTGACCCTACACTTGTGGCTAGTCAGGTTAAAGTTTGTTTAGGAAGTGTTTTCATGACCATAACATAGTGTTTTTACACAGTACATCGCTGTTGGGTGTTACGATTGTGTACAGCACACTTTGAGCACATTCGTTTACATGTACAGTATTAAAGGTGTACTTGATTATGTATGGTGGGACTTCTGTGTGACCTGCGAACGCGTCATTCAATTCACTGTAATGCCTGGATGTCGCGTGGGCCCATCACTATACATGAACTTGACATCGGTGGGGGTATGGCTGGGATTATTCTTCCATGATTCCTACCGTAATTTATAAGTTGGGGAGTAGATCTCCTAGGGTTCATGCAGTGTACATTCCCATACGTACATTCCCGATTTCGTACAGAGTTATCGTTTATTATGTGTCAATAATATTTATTTAGGGATATTTTGGGAACTCCAAACATTTTGAGCCAGCCAGCCTACCGGCAGTGGCCCTGCCTGATTTCAGGATCTTCTACCACACTAGGCTATTGCCTAAGTGTACATTTTATATTCAAACAGTATTTTGCAAAAATGAATAACTTTATTTTACAACCTCGTGTTATTTGACATACTTTTCAACTTTTAGTGTACGTACATGTAATTATTTTACACGCAAGGATTTCTGTCATGTCATTTGAGCGATGTTGCTAATTAAGTTTCCGAATATGTAAGTTCCAAAAACACTGGCAATCAATAATATAAATATATGTACTCACCCAGCGTATCAACCACAATCCTTTATATTACAGTCCAGAGTACACTTAAGAGGTGATTTCATTAACATGAAATCGAAGTAGGCTTTGACTGCATTTCAGTTTCAGTATTAATTTTAGTTTGCACTGCATGGGCTGAGCATTTCGGTTAATCTGTCACGCTTATGCATGCGCAGTTAACCATGAATTCTAAGATGCAGATCAATGCTAGTAATTTACTGGACCCCAGCCTTTTTACAATTTGGAAACTTTATAAAAAGCCTCTACTTCTTGCCACGTGTTAAATTATAGCGAGAATCCGCATAAATCACTCCATTTCTTATTATATTTTTAGAACACTGCTGGCCCACTGCCCGGCTAACAATATGACAGCAAAACAATGTCTGGTATAAGTAGTAAGGGGAAATGCTTGTCAGCTTGTTTGGAATACGTGTGCGTTCAAATACATTACATGTATAGACATTGTGGGGACTGAAAACTTTATGGGGACAAATTTTCGTACCCACAACTTGGCCTCGACCTTCTTAAAGAAATGTCCCCTTAACGCGGCGAAGGCCCACCCATACACACCTACATCTTTTGTAAACGCCAACAATTGAGGACCTTTTTATTCCAACTTCAAGCACGCTTACTTGCTTTAAAACCAAAATCATGACAAAAAATGAAATTCTATATACATGTATATCTCACTAGCCGTTGTAAGGCCTATTTTTTCGTGAATTTCAAATTAGGTGCAACACAAACGATAGCTAATCAATTGTGCCGCTCTATCCCGTAATAATGTGCAGTAAGCAAGGTCTGATCTTTTTCCAATAACTTAAGGACGACTTGAGGATATGTTTATTGTGTAGGGAAACTGTGTACGGGAATTCCATATTATTCTCAGGAGAGCGGATAATATGAGTGCAAAGGCACAAGATTTGTGCTGCCAACTGTGAGGAATTTGATACATCAATGAAAAAGGATTAACTTACTTTGAGATAGATCCCAAATTCTCTGATCTTCTCTTTGGCCTTGGATTGACCAGTATGAACCAGAGCAGCTGCCACCAGCGATGCATGCACACTACGCACCGTCCAGGCGAACATGATGATGTTAGCCACCAGGCAGCATGCGATTGGAGCAACAAAGGCTACAACAATGGCATACTTTCCAGACAGCCAGCAGGAGTCCTCCCCAGGACCCATACCATATCGGAAATCAAGCTCTTCACCGCCGGCGAAGTGGACAGCGAGACACACCGCGACAATCAGAAGAGGGACGCCCCATCCGTACGCACTGTACACTAAAAAGCTGCACATGCTGGGGCGGCTGGCCTGCTTGGATGAGAAGGTCCTTACAAGGTCAAAAGCGAGGACATTGGTCCAGGTGAAGGTGGACAGCCACAGGAGATGCATCACTGGGGCCACGGTGACGCAGAAAGCTTTGGGTTCCGTTTTTCCGGAAAATATGAGAGTCATCAACTGAGCCACTGTCATTGCAGCACTCAGGCTCATGATGGCACGACCTGGAACATTCCTTAGGACGGGGAAAGCACAATAAGTGATGAACGTTGCAAAGAGGGCTGCTGTCGATAAGCTGTAAGCCACGCAACTCAACTTTTCTAGCGGGTCTTCCTTTACGAAAATAATGTCACAGATAAGGATCCGATCGTCAGGCAAATACACGACATTGTCTTTGAAGAACACTTTTCTCTTGTATTCTACCGCTGGTGCACCTCCCATGGTCACCAACCTCGTCGATTGAGCCATAGGAGTTCGGCACTCCTCGTTGACGTAAGGCTCACCGCACACTTCTATACCGGTGTCTTTAGCAGAAGTAGGCATATTCGAAAACTTCGGTTGATAACGGTAAAAGCGACTGAAAGAAACCAGTTTTGCTTCAATTAGAAGCCCCCCACCGACATAAACGACCTGGATTCCACTGAAATTAAAGGCTTTCAAAATCTCGGCTTTGGTCGTGTACAAAGATTCTTTACAGGGCTCGAAGGGACCATCGATCAACCCGCAGGTTTCGACAAAGTCCGCTCTGCGGATACCGCACCTCACGACCCATTCCCTTGCACTGCCTGCCTCGTTTGATGCACTACCATCGAGCAAGGCCTCGAAGTCAGTAACATTACCAAGATACGGCGTTGTAACTCCTGATGCATTCCCTTCCAAGCCAGAAATCTCTCTTCCTTCGATGGCAGCTAAATAAAACGGCCAGGTTGACTGCACATTTTGCTGGCTGAGCGTAAGAAGGTAACACATCATCAGTCCTGATGGTTTGGGCTGTGTTGTCTTCTGATCCGTCTCAGGAGGGTCTGTGGTGGATGATTGGACGAGTAACGCATACTGCTTGTCGAAGCAATAAACATCTCCCAGTAACACGAAGTCAGTAGATTTCTGTGGAGTGAAAATATAAAGTTGTCTGCCAAGGTAAGCATGGATATTATCATTTAGAACGATGGGATCCTCACAAGCGTTTAATACCAGTGAACAGCGGCTGTAGTCCACGGCAAAAAGATCCAACCCGTTACAGTATGCACAGTGTGGATTCTTATAAACCAACCCATCTGGTGCAACGACGGGAGCTGAATACGCGCGACAACCAGACCTGATCGTCGCACTGACGTTAAGAGCACTACAGTTGTCAATCCCAACATCATAGCTTGTATAGATAGAGTCAAGCCCTTCTTCATGTGCGTCGTATTCGGTAATGATAAAGTGATAGGAAGAGCTATATTCCTGTCCTGCAAGCTCTGTCGTAATGATTACGGAGTCGTTGTGAAAACACAACACGCAGTACGTATCATGAACAAACGTTGCGTCGCTATATGCAACCTGCACCAATCTGGAGTCATTCTGACACGGTTCAGTCTCGTCCTTATCCAACCACTCCGTAGGACATCCGCGTGTGGTCACTGCACGTTTGTCCTCAACCATGACACAAGACAAAAGTTCACGTGACGACACAACCAGCCAGAGTTCTCTCGGAAAAGTTGATTGATCCGAAGGACACAATATAAGGTAATCGTAGCAGCAGTCCTCACACTGCACACACAACGCATCGCAGCCACATTGCCTCTCACTCGCAGGGCTTCCGCAGCGTCCTTGGCAAGACTGTGATCGACAGGGGTACACTGTTAACCCATACATTGTGACACCTGAAAGAGATATACAGAAATTAGTTGAGTGTCATAAAAATTGCACTGAATAATCAACATAGATAGTTTTGTTTGTGCCGTTACTACGAGAGATCACAGAAGTTCGAGAATACGCAGAGTGTAAATCAGGTTATCACAAGCTATAGTCTCAAGTCTAGGCATACGACAAGAACCAGCACAAAAGTACCCCTGTGCCATGTTCTATTTCCTTTTGTTATGCTAACAATCCAGAAAAAAGAATGAGAGCCTAAATGACGCTTGGTGGCGGCAGACTAACCGGTCGCATTTGCCATTTCTGAGCATGTGCAGTAGTTGTGAGTATGTGTACTACTTTTGGAAAGGACCGGCTTGTGTGGTGCCACCAAACATTTCGAAGTTCCCCGTTGCGAGACAAGCTTGTATTTTTTTCTTGTGAAATCTGCAATTCTTAGTTCCACTGAAATGCACCCTATTTACTTTTGCCAGTAGTTTCGTCTAAAACCTAGTACATGCCTTTAATTACCTGTATCGCATTCCACGAAGACTACAAAAAAATCGTTGTCTTGACAAGCTTTCTGTCCATACAACCATCGCTGCTCATTGCCGTGCTTTTCTTTCACGTACGTGTATCTCAGCACAAGATCATTCCCGGTGCCATTGAAGTTAGACTGTGAGTACCGTATCTCCTTCCAGTGTTCGGCCGGGGGATAGCCAATGTCTCGGCAGGCTGGGTTGGCGAGATCCCTGAAGGAATTTGGCAGACATGCTTCGGGTCGGTGAACGCAGATAGTTCTCCAGTCGGAGCCATTGTAGCGGCCCTCAAGAAATCCAAGATGCCACGATCCACTCAAACCGACGCCCCGAGGATTGAGCCGAAATTCTGGTGTTGCACTAGGCGGTAGTATTTCATTCTCTGATGAAAAAAAAAAGGTTGTGCGGGATATAAATTACGCGTAAAGATATTCATGTGGTGCGGCCAATGCTATCGTGAATGTGTAAATTATGTGGGTTAATATAAGTGCTGCTCAGTGCACTCCAAATCGAGTTTGAGAGACTCCATATAAGTCGCAGAATCAGCCACTTTCAAAAGGTTTGAAGTTGGTCTCTGTATGTTTGTTGTCTAGGTGTATAAACCAGCGGGTTGGTATTCAAATCAAGCTGCGCTGCCAGCATGTGACTTATTTGATTTGAAAAACTGCCAGACAGCACGGGGAAAAGTACAACACGCCGAGCCCCAGTGATAAGGGCACAGTGGATACATCACCTTGTTTAAAAGAAGGGAAACTTTATGTCAATTATGTTTGTAATAATCGACAATGCTCGGTCTGTGCTTTGAGAAATTAACTCGTAAAGTGTCATTAACATCGCTGGTGTCTCACCCGTGGCGCAGACTACTCCAAATAGGATTGTGGACTGCCTTTCTTGGTTTTGGCACATCGTCAATGGGTTTTCATCGATACAATCGAAGAGGGCGCCCCTTTTGCCCGATGACGCCCAATCGCACGCCACAAGTGTACATATGAAGCTCCCAGTGCCATTGTCGGCCTTTTCCGGAGTTGATCCGACCGCAGATGGGTAGCCCAGGTGTCTGCAGACCAGGTCAGACGCTAGCTCGTGGTTTTTCACATTGTTGTATGCCAGGGAAACCCACTCGTCATCTCCAATCTGTAGCTCTACTTTTCCAGCATTCTCGTGCCTTCCGCCGACCAAGCGAACCTTACCTGCAAATCGAATTGGTTATGTTATCTAATACTTTCAGTAAGTCAAGATCTTTGTTAACAAGATGGTTAACATTTTGAATTGAAGAAATAATTTGGCCTCAGAAAATAGACAAACATGTTACCAGCCAGTTGAATATGACAAATTATACTGATTGTAAACATTCATACCTATACTTGATGGAATATTGGTAAAAAATTGTCTTACCAGTGAAGCACCTGATCCCAACATCATGAATATGATAGCAGCCATAATATTCTGGAATCCAAGGATCCAAACTGCATTCGTCCAGGGGTCTGAGGGTTGTTCCACAATCTATTTCCTGTAGCCATATTGGACCAGTGGTCCGCCCAAACTGCGCGGTGTTGCTGGCCCCAAACAAGGCGGGAAACCCGAGCTGACGGCAAAGTGCGCGTCCTGCACCATGCAGGAGGCCATGGTCATTGGTGGTGCAGTATGACCCCCACCACTTCTGGCCAGTTAGGCGGACCTCAACTCGCCCCTCGTTATGGTAACGTCCATCCACAATGCGAAGATTTGATGAAGAAAAATTTGCTGTCGAAAGAAGAGAAAGAGGATCTGAAGTTAAAAAATATTACCTTCATAGTGAAAGTATAACGGAAAACTGTGTAGGAGCCGAGCAATTAGAGGCAAGCAATCATGCATTCATTTAGGGACTCAGAACAAGGCCGAACCCACAATTATCCAATTATAATGCCCATAGGGATGTTCCATTCCTGTGTCACAACTCTGCCCTCAAGGCACTGATGTAATAAATGTGAACGCACATTAAAACAAGTAAACATTTTACGTTAGTGTTCAAAAACCAATATATCATATACCAAAATCAAAATCGTAAAAACGACAAGAAAACTCTGAAATTGTCATAGTCTATCTATCCAACTAGTCTGACTACATCTATAAAATGTTGAGAATGGCATTCGGCTCTCATCTCTACAACTTGAAGGTGTAAATATCCAAACTTCAACATACAAGATGGTTCTAATTAGACGTACGTACCTCGAGTCACGGCAACCACTTGAGCATATCGTACCACTACTGTTAGACCGAGAAGGCAGAGAAGAATAACGTTCATTGCGAAGGTGTACCGACTGCTTCACTCAGGAGTAATGCGAAGAATGTTCGAAATACCCTATCATTTCTGGTTTTGCATGAGTTGTTTGGAAATGAAATTTCCAAGCTTAGGTGTTTTATTTCAAGAGTAAGAAAAACAATCGCCAGAGTCTTGCCGCTCTGTTGGAGCAAGACTGATTGGGAATTCTATCCCGAGAGACTTCGAATTGGCAGCGCTGCATGAGGCTTAATAGTTAGAACAAAAGAGAAATGAAACCATTTTTTAAACGCATATTGCAATGTATATTCCCGTTCATTGAATAGAAATAAAAAGACCCCATTTGCTCTGCATTTCTGCAACATGCACAGCTTTTCATTATTATTAAAATGTTTAAGTGCTCCTGACATATACGATATTACAAGCATTTTTTTTGGCGATTCCACTTTGAATTTTCAACCCACTGGTTTTCTGCGTCAGACCGGAACCCCAGTGTACTACTCACTAGTCTAACTGATGTACAGTACATGTGTTGATTGCGCAAAATACAGAAATTGAAAATCACAATAAAGGCAACACAAAGGTGCAAGGATTGCCTTTATTCCCCTTTTCTCTGAAACGATACCAAATTTGAATTTTCTGTTGATGCGGTTTGTTATTTTGTTTGGTGTATTCGAGCTGACATACACATCGAATGCACATCATGGGTTGGAAAGATTTAAGTTAAAAAACGGGTTGAATCTGAATGGATTTAGATTTTATATGGTTATACCAAAATGTCAGCAAAGGGTTCAGGAGAAGCCAGAGGCATTTTCCCCATCCAATTTTTATTTCATTTGTGATGCTATTACAGTAGGCATAACATACAATGAAAAAGCATGAGGTATAAGGACAAGTGACTTCGACAGTAGCCTACACTACATGTACAGCAAATAAGATTACATTAAAAAGCAAGAGACGAATAGGCCACAAGAGTTACATACAGTGTTTGACAGACACAGTATCCTGGAAATGGCGAAAGAAAAACATACACACACAGTCACTAAATCAATATTGAGTTTCCCTCGCCACCGGTGTGGAATTAGTGAACGATCACGTCGACATGTGGTGTTACACGGGGTGAATAGATTGTAATCATATGCCAGACTTTTCTTCTGATCAAATTTGTCCCAGGTTACATATAAAACGTCTGAGGACAGACGTCTTACTTGAACGTGGAGGGAGTTTAGATAACCTCGTTTTCATCGAAGAGAAAAGGCAGTGTGTTAGTTGATGCTACAAATCGTGGACTGAGCCTGGCCGCTTAAAATGGGACAAGCTCTGAAAACGACGGGTTTCAGTTCAGACAGTCCTCTGCCTATGGCACACTATTTGGCACTGTCTGCAGCACAAGCAGTGAAGTTACACGTACCGTTTAATTTGCTTTCAGTGTCCCTTGGAAATTAGTGTGCATGCACCAACTGCGTGGCCACGTCCCCAACATTCACCACTGTTTCTTTCTGTTGTAAATTTGTATGCACACTCGAGGTGGCGAGGTGTTCGAGGTCCAGAAAATATCGAGAGGGGTCTGTAATACACGTTTTGTAAGTGTAATTTCTGTGCAAAACTCGGTATTCATCTCCCCTCCAGTTTAGTCTAAGTGGTGATACCCGGTTTCTACAGAAGAAGGAGCAATTACAACGAAGTTCAGTGTCAACTGGACACAAAAATTCTGAACAAGGGCTGTTGTACTGAAGAGGTACCAGAGGACCTCATGGTAGATGCGGTTGGCAAGGCAACCGACGATCTACGAGAATCCCATGATGCCACAAATATAAGTGTTTAGAGAGAATTAAGAATAGATGTTGTCTTAATACAGAATTCAGTACTTGCAAACCTTTCTGACTTCGCATTAATGCAGTCTCGATAGCAGTTTGTAAGCACGCTTGATAACTGTCACGTTTTAAAACGAAGTATTAGCAAAATCTTATGAGATAGGAAAAGGTTTAAAAGATGCTAGTCCTACAGGTTTGCTAATCAAGACAACTAGCAACGTGGAGCAATTTCTAATGTGCATGTTAAGTATCTTAGATTTGATTGTCTTTTTAGTTTAAATTAAAACTTTGTTTTAAGAGGATATAAACGTTGAGTTGGGGAGTCAGCTTTTGCGTGTTGAAAGAGCAAATAAAAAAATGTGTGTTGCCACCTTTTACCGAAACAAAACAGAACAACTCGCACCGATGGCGTGTGTTGCGACTGGTTGGCATTTGGGCAGATTGAAAGCCGACATTTCTGTTACACTGCCTATACTGCCCTTCAACCCGGTCATCCTAGAGAACAACAGACGTCATAACCCAGGCGTAACGACCAAAAAAGTCCTTGATTTCACCATGCAGAATTCAATTAGTAGATCTTGTCACAGACATGAAATCGAAGTACAGGGTTCGACTCTCCGTTTCAGCTAACTGGGTTGAGAACGTTGAGGAATATTGCCGCACAATAGGTGAACAGACGTCCTAAGCCAGGCGTAGCGACCAGAAATAGTCGTTGATATCACAGTGTAGAATTCAATTAATAGATGCTGTCATTTACATGAAATTGAAGTGTTAGCTTGCCACTCTTGACGTCACTGCGTATGACTTGAACACGTGTATGTCATTGTTACCCAGTGTGTAGTTAATAAACACTGCACCCTTTATAAACGTGTCATAAAAGTGTACACATTACAAACAGGTTTACGATTCATAGTGTTTAAAAACCTAACATATGCTGAACACCTCCGTGTTATTTTATCACAAATATAAGTGGCGTTTATTAACAAAATAGTGTGTTCAGCATATGAGCGTGTCGTGTTTATTTATAAACGTGTCAAAATGTTTAAAAGGTGTATTTGCGTTTGATCTGCATTTCAAAGTTGAACGCTTGGGTTTTACAGTGTAGCATCTCCCCGAACCTGTGTGCTGTCTTCCCTGGAGAGTACTGCACCTGATAGGCAACACTCCGCCCCGGCTGGAACTCCAACGGCAACCCTTTATAAATAAAAGGAACCCCAAGCTTCCGTGCCCAGATTGGGAAAATTTCAATGACAAGGAATTAGCAACAATAATTAATTTACCACAAAGAATTAACTCCACTATGGCATTTTTTTATTAACCTTGCCTGAGCGGATCAAATAAAGATTGAATTCATTTGTAGAAGAAATTTAAAACGGAGGTTAAGAGATCTAACGATATATGTTTGTGTAAAGCTGTCTGTGACTTGCTTGGTTGAAGTTAGCACTCTTTGTAATTAAAATTATTTAAACATCTACAGGCCACAGAAATTAAACTTTTGGGTTGTATACGTACACAACCTATCCATGCAAGCCACTGTTCATTTGTTTACAGGGCCTCTTGGAAATTTATGTGCACCCCCAGGTCTCCCCCTGAAAAATACAACCAGTTACAGACTTCTCTCTGTTATAAACGTGGAATCACACTTGCGCTGGCTTGAAGTGGCGAGGTGTTTGAGATCCGGAACCATCAATAACGATCTATAATATATGTATTTTCAATATTATTTCTGTACAAAAGTCAGTATTCATCTCCCTTTAGATGGAGTTTACGAGAAGATATTTGGTTTCTACAAGAGAATTATGAGCAATTGAAAAAACTTTGATATCAACTGGACATGAAAATTCTGATGTTTGTAAGCAAAATTATCTTTTATATATGTTACTGTTATATCTGTACAACCTCTCCGTCATGCAGTTGGTGTTTTTTTACATGCCAATATAATTATAACCGTCCGCACATCCATTGAATAAGAACCAAAATATAAATTCATTCTACACATTTGAAGCGCTTTGATCTGAGCTCTTCACGCGCACATTCTCAGAGGATTTCTTGGTTTTTGCGTCCGAGGAGGTGCCGCTTTGCGGCTTCAAGCCAAGTTTCTCCCTCCAGAGGTCCCGGATGCGGCGGTTGCAGCCAAAGGAGAGGAAGATGAAGACCCCTTGCAGGGAGTTGAGGACGACGAAGAGGTACCAGAGGACCTCATGGTTGATGCGGTTGGCAAGGCAACCGAAGATCCACGTGAACCCCATGACACCAGAAATCTAAGTGTTCAGAGTAAATTATAAATACAAGTTTTAATGAAACGCGATTCAGTGCTTTGCAATTTGCACTGATGCTGTTTCAGCGACTGTCTGTGCATTTGATATTTGTTTGCGTCTTAAGTATAAACCGAAACTGGTTAGACCAATTAAAATTAATTCCTTGTTTTTCATCAACCGAGACCGGATGTTCTCTACCGCCCCGGTTTTTTGATATTTAATATTTCCAACTTTTAACAAATTTCCGGCCCTTTTCAACCTTGAAAATGTGTATGCCTCACAAAAATTGTCTTGTTTTATCTTGATTCGTTTGTCTTGCCCTCAACCATGACCAATTGAGTTGGGCCGGGTACGGTCGATCGCTGCTGCTCACGTTTCAATGTACATGTATGTACGTGCATGTACATGTCATGGGTGTTAAGAAAAATACAGGCTCGAGGCGATGGTGATGAGGGCAAAAATTGAAGCCCAAGTCAAGCCTCACGTGTCTGTTAAACGTTAAAATACTGTACAAGAAAGGTAATTTTAATCTGAAAAGTCTGGAAAATACTTACTTAAAGTATATCAAATATCAAAGGTCCTCCCGACCCAAAAATATACTTTTGAGTGATGATAACCAAGCCATTTTAACCGGCCTTAGCAATCGGTGTAAAACATGCTAGTCCTACGCGTAGGCTAATCAAAACAACATACATGGAGCTATATCATATGTGCACGTTCAGTTAATAGGCTTCTTTAGGAGATAGACTGTCTTCGTGTATATTTTCAAATAGTTTTATAGGGAAGTGTTGGGGAGTCAACTGCGACGCATTAAACAGCGAATGAAACATATTTTGTCTTTCGCCATCGTAAACCGAAACAAAGCAAACCTGTGGCATGTGTTATGACTACCTGGCATTTTGACGGACACAAAACTCAGTTGCACTTCTTGGTTACACTACCCACTGCTGTTCAACGCGATGAACTCGTTCACGTTCAACGTTTACTGGGATAAGAACTTTGGAAAACAGTCAAAACACTGCCGCACAATGAGATCAGCAGACGTCCTAGCCCAAGCGTAACGACCAGAAAGAGTCCTTAATGTCACAGTGGAGAATTCAATCACGAGATGGTAACATTTATATGAAATCGAAGTATATGGTTTAACTCTCATTTTCAATTTTAATTTTAACGTGCATCCAGCCGAGGAGTTCGTTAGCCAGTCTGCCACGCATGATGCGTATGGGAGCAACTCGTGAAGAGTTAAGCAGGTGCAGGGCAATGCAAGCTGTACCCTGCGAGTGGCCACGCCCACAAAATTACAGGGGCTAGCCGCATGGAAAAAAATCCAGGTCATTTCCGGGTCTTGTCCGTAGCGCAGTGCACCTATATGAACCAGTTCGACTGTTTTATGGTTGCTAATACACCCATAAACTAAAATAATAATGACATCGCAAGATGTCCACATATATGTGCACTTTCACATGGCAGTGAGGTGAGACAAGATTCACTGAGCCCCAATACGACACGAAAACAGATTGGCATCATTATGGTGTCTACACGTGTATTAGACTTTGCCAATTGCATTTAAAGCTTCATCATGTGTTCAGATTTCAGTAAAGATTTTCAAACTTGCTCAATTCCTGATCGCGTATGTCGCTCACTATATAGGTAAATACTTTGTAAGCTCTGAAGACAACGCATGGCTTAAACAATCTTGAAAACATACACAAACATCTCTGTTAACACTTGTTGTCAGAATTATGTAGGCCACCTATGGCCAACCTTTTGATCGTATCGGAATGTTTTCGGTATAGGCCTAACATTATTCAGACCAAAGCATATTACGATTGCTGATGCACTATTGGCGTTAGAAACTGTGAAGGGTTTGGAAGAGAGAGGTCTAATTTGAATCAACTTACTTTGAGATAGATCCCAAATTCTCTGATCTTCTCTTTGGCCTTGGATTGACGAGTATGAACCAGAGCAGCTGCCACGAGCGATGCATGCACACTACGCACCGTCCAGGCAAACATGATGATGTTAGCTACCAGGCAGCATGCGATTGGAGCAACAAAGGCTATAACAACGGCGTGTTTTCCAGACAGCCAGCAGGAGTCCTCCCCAGGACCCATGCCATACCGGAAATCAATCCCTCCACTGTCTGCAAAGTGGACGGCAAGACATGTCGCGACAATCAGAAGAGGAACGCCCCAGCCGTACAAACTGTAGACTGAGAAGACGTACCTACCAGGGCGGCGAGCTTGCTTGGATGAGAAGGTCCTTGCAAGGTCGAAAGCGAGGACATTGGTCCAAGTAAATGTTGACAACCACAGGAGATGCATTACTGGAGCCACGGTGAGGCAGAATGCTTCGGGTTCTGTTTTTCCAAAAGTTATGATAGTCAGCAACTGAGCCGCAGTCATTGCAGCACTCAGGCTCATGATGGCGCGACCTGGAACATTCCTTAGGACTGGGAAAGCACAATAAGTGATGAACGTTGCAAAGATGGTTGTTGCTGACACGCTGAAAGCCACGCAATTAAATGTCTGCAGTGGGTCTCTCTTTGCAAAAACAATGTCACAGATAAGGATCCGATCGTCAGGCAAATACACGACATGGTCTTTGAAGAACACTTTTCTTTTGTATTCTACCGCTGGGGCACCTCCCATGGTCAACAACCTCGTCGATTGAGTCAGGGGTATTTGACATTCTTCGTTGACGTAAGGTTCACCACACACTTCTATAGGCCTACCAGTGTCTTTAGCGGATGTTTTTGAGAGCTTTGGTTGGTAACGGTATGACCGATTGAAGGACACCCATTTTGATTCAACTAGAAGCCCCCCACCGACATAAACGACCTGGATTCCACTGAAATTAAAGGTTGTCAAGATCTCGGCTTTGGTCGTGTACAGAGAGTCTTCACACGGCTCGATGGAACCAACGATCAACCCGCAGGTTTCGACGAAGTCCACTCTTGTAATACCGCACCTCACGACCCATTTCCTTGTACCATTTATCTGGTCCAAGGCACTCTCATCAAGCAAGGCTTCGAAGTCGGTAACATTTCCAAGATACGACGTACTCACTCCAGAGGCACCCTTTTCAAAGCCAGAAACTTCTCTGCCTTTGATGGCAGCTAAATAAAATGGCCAGGTCAACTGGACATTTTGCTGACTGAGTAAAAAAAGATAACACATCATCACTCCTGATGGTTGGGGCAGTGATGAAGTGTTCTGTTCCTTTTCAGGAGGATTCAGGATGGGTGACTGGACGAGTAACGCATACTGCTTGTCGAAGCAGTAAGCCTCCCTGAGTAAACTGAAATCATTTGATGTTTCTGGAGTGTAAATATGTACCGTTCTGGTAAAGAGACGCGTTGATTTTACACCAGAACAAACGAGGCTATCTCGACAAGGGCTGTAGTCCAAGGCGAAAAGATGCATCCCGTTACAGTGTGCACAGTGTGGATTCTTATAAACCAACCCATCTGGTGCAACGATGGGAGCTGAATACGCGCGACAACCAGTCTGGATCTCCACCCTGATGTCGGGAGCGCTGCAATTGTCAATTCCAACATCATAACTCGTGTAAGTAAAGTTAAGCCGTTCGTCCTGTGTAGCGTGTGTAGTATCGCTAGAGTTGAAGTTATAATCCTCGTCGCTGCTATCGCTATTCAAAATATCAGCAGAGCTCTGGTGTTCTGCAAGCACTGTATTGATGATTACAGTATTCTTGTAAAGACACAACGCGCAGTACATACGAACAAACGTTGTATCTCTATAAGCAACTTGCACCAATCTGGAATCATTCACACACGGTGGAGTCTCCTCCTTATCTTGCCATTCCCTAGGACATCCGCGTATGATCACTGCACGTTTGTCCCCAACAACGACACAAGACAACAGCTCATGTGATGACGCAGCTAGCCAGAGTTCTTTCGAAACGTTAGATAGGTTCGACGGACACCACTTATAGTAATCATAACAGCAGTCATTACACAGCATACATAACGCATCGCAGCCACATTGCCTCTCACTCGCAAGGCTTCCGCAGCGTCCTTGGCAAGACTCTGACGGACAGGGGTACACTGTTAACCCATACATTGTGACACCTGAAAGAAATATACCGTAACTAGTTGAGTAGGCCTATATTAAAAAAAACGAATTGAATTAGGCCTAACCTTTGTAAAGCTTTTTACACAGCAAGATATATGGAGATCGAAAGAAAGATTACAGAAGTTCGTCTGTGTGTGGATCAGGTCATCACACGCCAGAGTCTAAAGTCAACCCTTTCCAAATGAGCCAGCACAAGGCACTCCTTTGCCTTTGTTTCCCTTATTACAAAGAACTCGTTTTTGATCGACCAACTGGACCTCTGACAACGTAATATTTGCGAAACACCAAGAGTCCTGTCTTTTTTGAATCCTGAGAAATCTCACCGTGAACGATCTACAAAAATGTAAAATCGCTTCTCGTTAGGATCGAGTTTGGTAAGGGATTATCCAGTATCACATCCACACCACCACAATCACATCCTAGTCAGAAATAACAAACGGGATTATGTCATATCCCGTTCCTTTCCAAAATCGCATCCACTGTCTACCACTTAACCAATATCACACCATGATACTGGGCTCGAATTTCGAATAGATGTGATTTAATTCAGTTGGTGGTTGCCAAAATCACATTTTGTCTGCAATGTCTTATCCACCCAAATCAGCTTTTCATTTTTTTAATTGGTAGCGAGATCCTAGACCATTCCATGGATTGCAGCGTTTCACTTAAACCGGTAGCTTCATCTGAAGCACAACAATAAATGCATTTGAATTACCTGTATCGCATTCCACCAAGATCAGATTATAATCGTGGTCTTGACAAGAGTTCTGTCCAAATAACCATCGCTTCCCATTGGTGTGTGTTTCTCTCAGGTACGTGTATCTCAGAACGAGATCATTTCCGGTGCCCTTGTAGCTAGCCTGTGAATACCGAATATCCCTCCGATTCTCGGCCCGGGGATAGCCAATGTCTCGGCAGGCCAGGTTGGCGAGACCTCGAAAGATTACCCCCGGACACATATCGAGTTTGTGGACACAGATAGTCCTCCACTCGGAGCCATTGTAGCGGCCCTCAAGAAACCCAAGATGCCGCGATTCATTCAAACCGGTGCCCAGTGGATTCAACCGAAATTCTGGAGTTGAAGTATTCGGTAGTATTTCATTCTCTGATAAAAGAAAACAAAAGTTGCAGGGGGATATCACTTTTTCCTGAAATGCTCAGGTATTGTAACCACCTAACGTTATGGTGAATTTATAAATCATCTCGATAGTTATTATAAGCACTTGTAGTCATTACTCTCAATCGAGCTGTCAAAAGATTCTATGAAAATCACGAATCACAGTTTCAGCCGAATTTTGGGAATTTCACTAATCGGTAGTATTTGATTCTTTGATAAAAGGGAGGGGGAAGTGGACCAATTTCATTTTTAAAAAATTTAAGACGTGTTTCCCAACTTGACGGAGAAAGTTAGTTATTTTAGTTTTGTTTGTCAAAGACATGAAGTGCTTAAGACAAAGATATAGCGGTACCAACTATGGGCAGGTTTGGGCGCCCCACAGTTAAACCAGTCATCGATTGGTTTTTAATATTGACCATGCGCAATCCTGTTACACTCTAACCACCCTAGTTGATCGATTTTTAAAAATCTCATCGTTACTCACATTTCACCTTTGGTTGCGATTCTCGCAATGGTCACTGAAGTATCGTACAGTTACTTTCATGGGAATGGTTCCCTCTGTTTATGACGTTACTATTATTTATTGTTATTAATAATTTTTGACTATTTCGTGGGTCGTGAACAAGACCTCAGTCCTTCTAAAAATTGTTCCCCAGATAAAATGGTAAATGATCAAAGATAAAATAAAAACGATATACATATACTAAAACTAAAAAAGCTCAAACTAAAATGAAAAAGCAAATAAAACTATGCAAACCAAGAAGAAAAAGTTGTTCCACCATAAGCAAAAGAGATAGCACATACACATTTAAAACGACTAAAATATAGACCAATAAAATAAACAAAAACAGTAATGATAATTGACAACAAGAAAGGGCAAACTATAACGTCCGGTAATTTACTATAGTAGCCACTGGAACTTGCCTTAATTGATTGCTCAAGCTAGCTCAAGTTCCCCTTTGTCTCTGAGGGCCCTCAAAAGACGGGATCCAACGTGACTTGTCGAATCCCAATAAGGGTCCCGTTTAACATCCCGATATTGCACTGTTCAGGGAATTTGCCATAAAATGCTGCAGCTGAATATAAATCAAGTCATTTGAAGGCATCTCCCTAATCGTAAAAAATCGCATCACTGCTGTCTTACCTGTGGCGCAGACTACACCTAACAGGGCTGTAGACTGCCTTCCCTGGTTTTGGTATAGTGTCAACAGGTACTCGTCAATACAGTCGAAGAGGGCTCTCCTGTTGTCCAGTGTTTCCCAGTCGCACGCTTGGAGTGCATGGATGAACCTCCCTGTGTCATTGTCCGCCTTTTCCGGCGTTGCACCGATTGCGAATGGGTAGCCCAAGTATCGGCAGACCAAGTCGGATGCCAGCTCGCGGCCTTGCACCTTGCCATGCGCGACGGAAACCCACTCGTCGTCACCAATCTGTAGCTCTACTTTACCAGCATTTTCTTGCTTTCCACCAACCAAACGGACCTTGCCTGCAAACCAAACAGTGCAGCATCGGATGTCATTGTTAAATAATGCTACTCGAAATGTTTTAAACACTGGTAAAGAAAGCCGGGCAAAATCAGTTTTAACTTAGTCTGTGGGTCTATCTGGAACTTTTGGCTTTGGTATTTTTCGCCAACGGAAGAAAAATGACAAGCATATTTCGCGATTGCTTTTCTTTCATTAAATTTAACAATTCCATTCGCTTAAACACCACACCTACAAAGTATAGAGCATTACCGAAACTCTTAAAACGGAAAAGCAACATGCATGTTTTGAAGAACGGGTACTTTGGTTAATTGACTGTGAGGTTAGTTAAGGTAAAGAGTACGAATACCAATAAACAAAATTTAACGGTTAATCATAATCCAATGGCGTAGCTAGGATTTACTAGTGAGGGTGCAAAGGGGGCACCAGCATCTTATGGGAGGGCACCAGTTTCCAGTGGCGTGGTTTTTGGACAAGTTTTTGTCAGCCTTGTTCAATAGGGCCTATCTATTCCGTATTTTTCAGTGGGGGTGGGGCATCTAGGGGGCACCAGAATTTTGTGTGGGGGGGCACGTGCCCCCTCCCCCCGCCTACACCACCGTCATAATCGCAGAAAAGTAATTTTGTCCCTGTAATCCAACTGGCCAACATCAACTGGTTGGTAACAATGGTTTCCGGCGGGCATGGTCACAAAGTACCAACTGCAGGTAATCTATTGACAAATATTAACTGCAAACATTTCATATCAGTGCTATTGGTCAGGTTTTGATTTACCTTGGAAATTTAGGACACTTGGACACTTCTCTGTTACTTACCAGTGAAGCACCTGATGCCAACATCGTCCATATGATCACAACCACCCCAGCTTGGCATCCACCGATGGAGGTAGCACTCCTGTAGGGGGTGGAGGGTGTATCCACAGTTGACTTCCTGTAGCCATATTGGACCTGTGGCCTGCCCGAACTGCGCGGTGTTGCTGGCCTCCAACAAGGCAGGATATCCTAGCTGACGGCAGAGCGCGCGTCCTGCACCGTGCAAGAGGTCACGGTCATCGATGGTGCAGTACGATCCCCACCACTTCTGGCCGTTCAGGCGGACCTCGACTCGCCCTTCGCTACGGTAACGTCCTTCCACAACTCGAAGACCCGTTAAATTTGCTGTCAAAAGAAAGGAACAAATAATGAAAGTAAACTTCTCCTTCACATCGACAGCACAACAGCATTATGTTAAGCTGCCCGGCACCATAATATACTGGAAATTAGAAATTAATGCCCAGGCATTTGACGGGACGGCGGAACAAGGCTGAATCTACAAATGTTATGCTTAGCATGACGGGCAAGCGACTTGCAATAATGTTCCCGTAGTTATATGTTGTTATCTCTTTGCATTGAAGCCACCGGTATATAAATTAAAGAGCGCGCGTTGAAAGAGATACATATTTCTCAGTACACCCACGATGCTTTCCCCGGCCCCTTTATAAAATTTCAAAATCGCAACAGTTGTTATTCTGACAGTTTTCAAGATGAATCATTACCTCCGACATGTTGAGCAGCCATTTAATATTATTCCTGTACAAAGGATGAAATGTCCAAGCTTTGAAGCATAAAACGTGAATTTCAATAAATCTGCACAAATTTACCTCGAGTTCCGGCAACCACTTCACCATGTCGCAGCACAACCGTGAGACCGAGAAGGCACGGAAGAATCACGTCCATCGCTATCGTGTGCCGACCGCTTCACTCAGAATCAGGGAGAACAGTGCGTCGTCGGCTCTTTCCATTATGGTTTTATCAAACCGTGGGGGTGTCGGAAATGACATTTCTGGCTTAAAACGTGTGCTTGTTCCCACAAAGGGAACACATTTCCCTAGACCATTGCCGCTCTGTTAGAGCGAGACGGATTCGTGAGGATTCAACCCGCTGAAAGGCTTGTAATTGCTGACCCACGAAACTCGGGCTCAATATCAGGTAATCTGAGATCTGTCTTCGTGGGTATACCGATATTTGACGAAGAGGCGGGAGGGTGGAATTGGAACGCTCTACGTGTTCTTTGAGTGCACCGTCCACTCAAAGAGTCATATTTTGTTGAAACTGCAAAATCTGTGAAACTTTGTTAGTTCCTTCGCTTGTAACGAGAATCTACGTATACAGAAAACCACACATTTTGTGTTTCTTGCCACTAGTGCAGAACTAATGAATGTTCACCATCTATGGCAGCGTCGTTTCGATCCCTATGGGCCCGTGTGAATTGTTATATCATACTTCCTCTTCATTCATTTATTCCCAAGACACAACATTTGAGAACCTTGAATATGTAGTTGGAGTCAAGATTGGATGTTGCAAATTTTCGGATAATGGTGTTTTCGTCGCAGCGTACTTATTAATTTTCGATCTAATTTACTGTTTTTAGGTGGGCCCCGAAAAGTCGGCACTGGATCCCGTGTAAGTGCAGAGGGTTGGGTAAGGTTGACATTTGTTGTCTTCAACATCTCTCACTTCCTGTTTGAGACTTGCTTATTAATCAACGAGGGTGATGTTTAGGCTGAATCTTCACGAATAGCGATTATGGAGTCGGGGAATGATCGTTGGCTGCCTCCGTCGGGTTGATTCGTGCATAGTTTGGTGAAAGACAGCTATAATGGGGAAGCACGCACAGACAAAAGGTTATTGCATGGCGTCTCAGTGGCTTTTTGGCCATTTACAGCGAATGCACAAAACGTTTAGTCGAGCCTACCCCAGTGATACAAAGCTTCTCCCTCAGTAGACGCGTTGATAGATAGCATCTGTTCAGTGAAAGATAGCTAAATATTGGGAAGCACCTTGATAATTTTGCCCTGTCATATTGTCAGAGTGATTGTGGAACATTCTGCATTCAGTCTTATCGTTTTTGAAAATTCGTGTTCACATTTTCCTGGGTATTTTTTTGAAGCATTTGTAGCGAAATAGAGAGGTTAGAGCGCCCCCTGTAGTTGTGCTTGTATCCCTTATAGTTCTGTATAAATTATGCTTATTAGTCTGGCGTCTCGACGTCTTCGCACAATTTAGAGCGCTGGCCTTGTTAGCGCCCTGTGGTTGGTGCGTGGCGGGAAAAGGGCCACACACGCGCAGTTTGCTCTCTTCTGTTGACGCACGAGCAGCTCGGTGAGTCTCTGACGAAGATAGTCCCCTGGGAGATAAACAGTGCTGTAGGTTAGTTCCGTACGTCCGTTAGGGTGAAACAGGACCTGGGCGGCTTCATTTGAGCCTCCCCGCCACTATAAATTACCAGCCCTGTAATCGTTAAATTAATTGCTAGGATTGTAGTGATTGCTTATTGACAGTTGTAAATCATAAATTATGCGCCAAATCACCCACGTAGGAATCACCTGAATAGGAGACCATTTTGATTAATAAATAAACGGGACTTATCTGAGAATCCAGCACTTGTCATTGTTAACCTTGGTGTAGAGTTCCCCTAGAAGTTCTCACATACTGAGATTAAAGCCCCATCGCCATTCTGAATAGTAGCGATCCGCTAGTGTTACGAGATAGCTTTGGTGTCTTGCGGTAGAACGCCTCCAAATCGACCTGTCCGCCGGTCGCCTCTTCAACCGCTCGTTGGGTCGGCCGAGGGCAAGCCCGAGGCCCCGTCAACAGAGACCGCTACACATTCTTACAAGTTTCGTGAGTTATCATTGCAATCAAGAGTCAAGCCGAATCAATTCGAATGTTTGAAGAATTTTATGAATACATTACACACTGCATTGTAAGATTAAATTTCAGATTTTGAAGTCACCAAGACCCGGGGTCATTTTTTATGGTTCTAGAGTTATTCATGTAGTACTCCTGAAAACATTGCCTCAATTTAGTCTTATTCTGCTTTAAATCGCAATCACTGTTCTATGTTGATTGTCCATTGTTACAATGTACATGTATTCTTATCTCAGACCGAAAGTTATTCCCAAAAACTGTGAATTGGGGCTGAATTTTCCCTATGTCATAATGAATTTTCATTCTGGGTTTTCCTGGCTACGTGTGAACCCGCCTTGGCGTAACACAGTAAGGCCATGGATTGGTTATGCGGCCTCTGTGCTCTCAGACGTTGGAGACTGTTTGTTTGATGCCATTGGAAAAGAAATCAATGAGGATCCCAAACTATAGAACAACCGATAGAGATTCCGTTCAAAGTAGTGGCTTTTTATAGCTGCATTTTTCTGTAAAAATTTTATTCAAATACATCTACACAAAGTCAAAAGACTTTTACGAGTCATGTACAAAACTTTGATCACTAATCCCATCCAATAGGATATTAATATTGTTAAAAACATTTTTGCGTTCAAGAAAGAAAGGCGTGCAAAATCAATACTAAATTACGCATTGTATCAAACATATTAATTATATGCAATTAAAGAAATTTCAGCTGAAAATGCAATGTTTTTCAATTGAAATTAGTGTTCAATTAAGTTTCAAAGAGCCATACTATGTGTATTTCAGCAAAATATAAAGCTTGAATTAACTAGTGAGTAGTATTGTTTGTTATTGTTCTTGATGCCAAATAAATAATACATGTAATAATAATAATAAAAAAGTTACAGACACAGATTAGTTAAGGACATAGGCGAAAAATACAGTTGCCATCGAGGCAAGGAGTCCAGGCGCCAGACCACCTGCTCCATTGTCGCCAGGTTCGGGTTTCTCCACAATATTGGTGTCGCAGCCCTGCCACGTGGAGGCGACATTTCGCGGGTACCCAGTGTCCACCCGGAAGTATCGATCGTTGAATCGGTAGTAGACGCCGTCGGAGTTGAAGAAGTACGTGCGCGAGTTGATCCACTGCACCGCTGCACCGACTTGGTTACCAGGGATGTTCCAGACACTCAGCGGACGAGGGTAACCAGTGTCAACACGACCACTGCCGAAACGGTAATACTGACCGCCTTGGTGGGTGAGAAAGAAGAAGTGAATTAGAAAAATCGACAGGCTGGGGAAACATCGGGGAGGGGCGGAAGCTTAGGGTCTATCCCCTTACTGTTGGACCAAGATATTGGATCAGCCTCATTGCTGTTTAATCGAAAAAGGTCGATTTTGGTGGTATTCTGCAGATCACCCCAACATGTTTCAGTTGTACTGAAAAAAGAAGTACAAACGCTTGAAATATCCCCCTTTTGATGTAAGTACGTGTACATTTACAGTACGCGTATACATAACATGCACATGGGTATCCCTTAGTGTTATGTGGTGTCCAAAAATATCTCGCGCGTATTTCTAATTTCCACGCACGGTCGCGCAATTTTTTGGATTTGAAGTCATCTACAATCCCCCCATCGTCCCCGGTCCCATTGACACCACTAACTGCAGGATTGCAGTCTGTAATTGGAAAAAGCCTGGTTACAAGTTAACAACGAAGCTGCTCCTGTACAAAACATGAGCAGAACGACATGTAATGTATGCATGTGGGCTTGTGTTGCATGAGCTTTCGCTGAAATGTATAATCCCTATCAAGGGAAGTTTTGACAATATCTCAACCTTTTACTCCTACTACAGGTATTCACTCATCAAGCCCCTTTCGCAATCATTATCATGTGAATGATATTTCGCACATGGAGTGCAGTGAACACTAGGCTTACCTTTGACAAAGTAAAGTCGACCGTTTCCGCTCCACACAAAAGCTGCGTCCAGATCATTGGGCAGGCCAGGCCAGTAGGTTGCAATGCTTTTCGGGTAGCCTGAGTCCAGCACTTCGTTGTCGAATCGCCAGTACTGGCTCCCCTGTGGGCACCAAAAAGAATAAAATGGAAATGAGTGCAAGGGAGTCATTTGTTTCATAAAGTCTTCCTTTAAAGGCTGATTCGTGCTCTTGGGAAATTATCTTCTCTAAACAGTAAGTCTGTTATGTTTTTTGGTTTTTTCCTCTGGAAGAGCAGAGAAATGTTTTGGAGTAACAGCTTTCTTTTCCTTGTTCAGTAATGAGCTGGACGAAGTTGTCGAGCATTTGAAAACTTAGAAAAAATACCTTAAAAATGTAGGTCTTGCCGTTAGGCTGGTAGAATAGGGCAGCGTCTACATTGTCGGGCAGACCAGAAAACACTGAACCGATTGCTCGTGGGAACCCATCTGCTATCCGGCTTGCCCCACTCTCAAACTTCCACACTTGAGTTCCTGTAAAAGGGCGCAAAATTGAAAATGTTTTCTGGTCAGCACTAAAAAGTTTGAAGTTACAAATTAAGGGGGAGGGACTGCACCGTGATGCCAATTTTCAGTGCACATTTTCAGAGCACCCTTTCCCCATTTTTCATTCCCACGTGTATTGCAATTTTGTGTCGTTTGTCCATGTGATGCGTGGGAATGCGAATACAATGGGTAGGCATCGTTTGGGGGCATTTTACCATTTCCACGTTAAATTAGAAGAACCAGACTATTTTGGAAAACACACGCTGAGAAGGTTGTGGTTAACAGTTTGTTACCTTCAAATAAGTATGTGCTCCTGTCGCGTGACGTCGTTACAGCGTCGACAATTCCAGTACAGACCTCTGCGCTGGGTTCCATGGTGACCACAGGCGCGCCCGAGTCAGATCCTGTAAATTACAGAGACAAATCAGTTTCCTTGATTTTTACACCGACATGCAAGTGGGTCGAGGGCCAAAGGTAAGAAGTAAAGGCACGGTGGCCGACAAAATCTCATCTAGTCAGACCGACAACCTGAGTCTCCCTGTTTTCATTTGATACATGTTATTAGGTTCTCTCAAAGAACGCCTTTAGTTATTGTTCAAAAACGTTTGAGCATCACCGTGAAATTTATTATTTTTTTTACAACCTTGGGACTCGTTGGGTCATTTTTTTCAATGAGGGTAGAAACTACGTGTACCTATGCTATATTTTGTAGTCGTGTACAACACACAGCGATCACACTCTGTGGATATTGAGCGCTAATTAATTTGGAAGCAGAAACTCAAGCGGAAGGGGATATTCAAGAAATTCTTGTTGCTAGATAACAAGGGCTCGATGTTTAACTGACCGTATTGGGCCTGGATGCCAGCGATGTCGTCCTCGTGGAGCTGGAAGTTAGGCACGTAACCCCGGTAGAATGGTGCCATGAGTGCTGCATCAATGTTAGAATGACCAAGGCCCAAATTGTGGCCAAACTCGTGGGCTGCCACCTGGAATAGGTTGATTCCTGCACAGAGAAAAGTCAGTGGAAAAGAGCTCAATACTCGAAGCTGTTGTCAACATTTTAGTCAGTTTGAGGCCATCGCGTGCGATTCTAGTGAGGACTTAACTTTTACCAACAGTTGATATAAATGGCTGTAATTGATTGTCAAGTCTACTTGACCAAGGGATGACTTCAATTTTTTTTTAACGATACAAAACATTTTTGCCGTAACAACATCACCGTCAGGGTCTATTTTAACTTCAGTGATAGTTCGTCAGAGCAAACAGCCAGAATATGCGTTAACCTCCAGTAACCCAACGAGTTGATAATGCAAAAATCTAACAGGGTAGGGTGCCCCGCCAGAAGAGTAGCTTTTACTATGATGACTTTAACCCCCTTGAGAAAAGCTAACCTGAGAAAGAATTGATGGTCCACGTTTCGTCCTCGTCAAAATGCGCTCGCCCATCCTCTGGAAAGAATGCGTGGGCTAGCACGCCTCCCGGTCCGTCAAAAGGCGCGCCATCCCCATGAACTCCACTGTTGAAGTTGATAACGATGTCGGCAGGCGTGTTCCCACTCACACGCGTGAAAGTAAGCGGCGTTACGTCAGCCCATACCTATTTCAAATAAAAGACACAGTTGGGAAAGATTGATTTTGAATAAAGTTCAGGAACAAAACGACGTTCATGTCTTTATGTATCTCTGATTTGCCAGTGCCGTGGAACTTTCTTGTACATGTACACGCATTAGCATTCGACTGGACGAAGAAGTAAAAAACAAAAGACGCTCTTCGCCTTTTTTTCCTAAAATGCAAACCAAGCATTTAGCGTGGAATGTACTTTGAATGCACATAGCATCTGATTCTCCAATGATTGATAATTATGATTGGTTACCAGCCCACAGGGGAACGTAATGCCTTTGATTGGGTCCTTGTCGCAGGAAAATTTGTGGCATGAGACAGTGAAAAGGGACTGGCTTTTTGTGGTGTTCTGTGTTCAGGGCTGATTGAAATAGAGTTCACTCGGAAGGGAAATTTCCAGAATTTTCGGAGTAGCCTGCGGCAAGTAAAATATAAAATTGAAACATAAGACCAGTATAGTTTTCTTTGGATCTCTCCAGTCACGTGAACTTTGACCAAGTCAAGTCCTACATTCGGCCCACCTACATTTATTTTTACCCCAGGTGATGGAGATTTCGATTGGGTCGATGCAACCCATTAAGTTGTATAGTGTTGCTCACCTGGAGTGCCGCTTCCAGGGTGTCGTCAATGTCAGACCTGCTTGGTATATCGGAGGTCACCGAGTCGATGCGGAATGTCAAATCCGTCTTGGACCACCTCGATCCCAGGGAGTAGCGTCTCTTCCGTTTGGCGTCCAGGCTGTGTCCGACCACGTCCGGCATACCGCAGCGCGGCATGTTCATCATGCGCATCGTGTCATTGTCGAGCTCCCCTGTGAATGAATTGGGAGCACACCATTTAAACAGCATTCAGTAACAACCGTGTGCAAAATCGTGAATAAATTGCCGTGCAGTTAGTGTTGGATATTTAATTTGAGCGCTCTGCAAAGGTTAAACATACCTGTCTGTGTTATGTTGGCCATGTACTGGAACTTCGAGATGCCCTCTCTCATCTCCTCTTCAGTCATGAAAGTTCCATCGTCCGAGGTCATAGGTCTCAAATAGCCGTAATAAGTAAGATACATCTGGAAAAGATTTGAGATATGCATTTCACGTGTAAATTTAACTGCAGCAAATTTTTTTTGGATACAGTTATTCGGCAACTTTATACTCTTCAGTGAAAATGAATTAACACCCCTATCAGGTTAGATGTGCACTTTTTTTAAAGATTTAAACTATCCACACTTTTCCTGGACAACTGCGGGCGCTGCTGCTGTGATGTCATTCATGGAAGATGCGGCTCATAGCATGGGTGTTCTCTCATTTCACACTGCGAACACAGAGTTTACTGACTGAAAACATTTCTAGGAAGGGTTGCTCGCTTGCTTATTGTTCCGTACTCACACACCAATAAATCAAGCAAAAAAAAAAAAGAAAAAGAAAAGAAAATGTAGCCTATAGCCTGCAAAATCTTTAAAAATTAAGTTTTTTTGTGCCCAAAACAATGCAACATTTAGGTTTTCTACCTGGGACGACACAAGTTACAATTTTGCTCATTAACATGGAAATACTTCTTAGCATAAAACCAAGAAGACGCCACAAACCCTTTAAAATAGAGAAACAACCATTGGAAATGAGGTTAACCTTGGCAAACGATGCATTTCAGAGGTTAAATTATATTAACGGATTCATTTTTGCTGGGACCCCTCAAGGCAGAGAACAAAAGGATACCAACACACTGGTAGTTCAAATATATAAAAGGATAGAAGAATATATGGAATACGTGAATATAGTTTGGGAAGAACGATGATACGAACAGGGTATCCATAAAACATGTCTGCAAAAAGGCATTTCACTAAGCCCAATTTTATCTCTTCATGTGCAGACAAACAACATTGGCAGACATCAATTTCAAACAGGTGGAAAACCCGTAGAACAAAAAAAAACTTGTGGAGTGTGGGTTCCTGTAGATCCCAAAACCATTCCATCATAAACGTTGTGAACAAGAACTATGAGAGAAACCTCAAAGATGGATCAATAAAATTTGTCGATAGCCAATTTTAGGGCAGATACAACAAGAAATAGTATGAATTGTAATTGTGAAGCAAATGTTCTGCACTGATTAATGTTTGTTGAAGTGACAGAATGGCAAAAACAGCGAAAACAAACGGGATATATCGAGTAGAGAAGATGCACTGGCAACGGAACCGATCAAACTGGAGCTAAGCAAAAACGATAAATAAGATAAACACGATTGGGCTTCAAATGAAGAAAATGCACTGAAAAATACGAATAAAAGCCTTACACTGCTTAACCATCTTTTAAAATCATTTACATAATTGTCTAAATCCTTGTTTAAATGAGTGAAATATCAAACAATTTGGGCAAAAATGCTTTTAGGGGAAGGATTGGGGGAGGGGAAACAGTAGTTGCCTAAGGAGGTCCGTAATGTCACGCCCAATTCATCTCAACGTGCGCTCCTGTGTAAATACTATTTAAAATGTCCATTACTTCAAAATCATTTTTGATTGTACAGCTGTCGGCAGGCGGCGCTTGAAACTTTTCTTTTTCATTATTTGTTTTAATGAAGCCTAAACTCTCAGTCTTAAACTTGGTTTATAAGGATAGAGGGATCCCGGATAGTATGTGGGGCAAGTTGGAAGTGTATATAAGTACACTAAAGATTCGTTTAATCAGGTAAAAGATATCTAACTGTCCAATTTGGTACATGTAATACAAGTAGAAAGCATTGATCCTAACTTACCATTGCATCCACTCCCGTCTCAACAGAGGAGTGGACCACCGTGACGGCAGCCACCAGCAGCACCGACATGAACAGCGTCTTGCCCGTTGACACTTCTGCCCGCTCCATGCTGACTTGCGTCGGTCCTGAGTAAACTGATGCGAAGAAACTTCGGTGATGAAGGCAAAGATTCGGTTTTGCTTTTCACTAAGGCTTGTCTCACTTTAGCTGACCAGCAGCATCTGACTTCCAAGTCTCGTCTTGCCTCCTTTTTATCGAGACCTTCCAATTGAGTTCTGACTCAAGTGCTTTGTCACCGGGCGCTGACGTCTTCGCCTGGAGTTAATTCCAAACTTTTTCTTTTCTGTGGACCTTTAATGATTGACGCATGCTCTTTTCACACACACACGCTGATGTCCCCTTCCTAAGAAAAGTGCGATTGACGTGTAAGCTTCTGAATAGACCTGAGCTATACTTATTTGGGCATTTTGCTATTGTTGTCGCTTAACTCACCCACCCTATAATCCGGACCAGTGCGTTATTTTGTTTCGTCCTCTTGTTACCGTGTCCAATGCATAGGATTCTCAGTAGACAAAAGGACGGTGGTTTATTTCCTTGTGGACACAAGTCGGGATAAACGCGCGTAACCGGGGAAGCGAGGTTCACACATTACGCACCATGCGGGTATATGTTATTCTCTGGGGTCTTCTGCGCGATGCCGTAACTCTGAATATTCTACCCCGAACACAAAGTTGATCAGGCACGGAATCCGCAACCGCCAAAGTATCCGAAATACCAGCCAACTGCAGCGGAACGATTTTCTAAAAAGTGGGGGCAGTTGTGTGACCATCAGGCATCAGCCATTAATTAAGCCACAGCCCATTTTAGGATCTGCAGAAAAAAAGGTCGACCCCCCATTCAAAACGTGTGTGGAGGAGGGTGCATTGGCCCCTGCCCCCTCCCCTGCTTTCGCCGCCAGTAATACCACCTGGGTTACTTGTACAATTTGCAAAGTTGAAATCTCTTGAGAAAACATACCGAGAAACAGTTACAGGCTGCGAAATACTTGTGGTCATATACGATGCGGCAGATGCACATGTACATAATATAAAAATCGTTGTGTAGAAAGTGGACCAATAGGGGGGCTGTAGCTTAACACGCCAGATTCAATTTCAGTCCCGTTTTCATAGGACGTCTTCACTGCACAGCCGAGATTAGAAAGAGACATAACCCTGTCAGAAAGAGGGCTTGGAAGCAAAACCGCCAAAGCAAAAATAAACATATTTAATACTCTGTGCTAAGCAATATAAGGAGCAAGTTTTTCTTGCACTTGGTTGAAAATTTTTTGTTATACAACGAGTTATACAACGTTGGACAACCATGGAGGAAGGAATTCCTTCCTCCATGGTTGTCCAACGTTGTATTGGACAACCAAGGCAGAAGAAACCCCTTCCATTGCTTTTAGTAATTTCGCTTTTTTGCCCAATGTTTGGATCGTCTGCTTAAGTGGTGCATGTTTGTATTTGGTCGGGGGTGGGGTGGAATTATTGTTTCTTAAAAAATGACGGTCTATGAATTTTCATCCACAGGTGCACCAATCCTCTGGCCTTAGTCATGGCTGCGTGTTTAGCTTTTCAGCTTCTTGATAGCGCCCTCTCTTGTGAATACAGCTGAGTCACATACGGGCATTCTGGCTGAGTTCGGGCGGCTCGTTCCCGTATGTTCACGAACAGCTCGATTTGTTGTTCGTGCAACAAACTGGTTATCACAAGCAACATGCAACATGGCGGCTTCCATGTACGCTATTTGAGAGTTAAGGTTTGGATGAGTTGAATTATTTTCTATATAAACAGAAACATTCATTTCTGTGTTACGGAAAATACTTAAGGTTAATTTTGAAAAACTTCCCATTGTCTACATGGTCTATGGCTTTGGAAGCCATCTCTCTACTTTTTGCAGCTGTTCAAAAAATCAAAGTCTCACAAGTTTTTCCCTGTGTTCCTGTAAAACCCTGACAAGGAGGTGGTGTGTTCCGAGAACAGTGTTCTTGAGTCATGTTCCGCCGTTCGAGCGCGAGAACTTGACAAGAAACCCGTGTCAAGAACAGGCCGCCCGAATTTGACCTCTGTGCATACCATCCAAATGCAGTCTTTGCTCAAAATTGTCATCCCGAGAAACGTGAAAGTGCCGTTTTCAATATGTTGGCGCTTTCAATTTCTCTTACAAAATGACAACAGGTCGGGGGCGGAACGCGTCCCCCGCTCATTCTCTCTTACTGCAGCGATATAGGGCAAGGTTATGTGTCTGCTGAGTGGTCAATAAGAATCAGTGATAACTAATACAATGTGATTTTGATTAAAATTAATAAAAACAAATCAAGTCAATTTGCTGACGTGATAGCCATAAATAAAATGCACAGTTGACGTGGTACGCGACTGATTTAATTTCGACCCCCCCCAAAAAAAAGCGTCCCAGAGGATGGACTGCCAATAATTTTCTTTGCTGCATAATGTTCGCAGCCACGGCGATCTTTTATTCGACTCATTCGAGGTATTCCAGGCGATGATGCACACTAAAAACTGAAGCGAAAAGCCTCCTGAACATCAACATGTACATTCGCATCCCTTGTGGTTATGCCTGATGAACACAAAGCCACCCAGTTCCGGTTTTGCAGCGATAAACCGAGCCTCTCTTTTGTGGATGATGCCACACGCTGGCCAAAAGCATTTCAGATCCTGGAAACTCAGTTCATGGGACTTCCTAGTACATAGCTATTCATTTGATGTTTTCAACGGTGCTGTCTGCCCTCTATCCTTATTTGGTATCGTTACAACAGCTTCTGTCAAGAGTCATACCGGTGTATGACGTCAAACTGAAGACGCTATCTCGTAGATAGCTGGTTTATTGTTGGTTACGAGTATTGTTATGACTCCGCGTGGTTTTACATGGACAGCAGCTTTGCACTTACGTGTATAGCACAGCCCTTAACAATAGCCAGTAATGAATAAACCCGGTCTTGTAAGCGTGAAAACCGGCCGTTACGTAATATCACATTGTGCATGGACAGAATTACGTGATGCATGCATGGACGTAAATCCTGGGGAAGGGGGGGGGTATCCCCTACTTTTTGAGGCGGGGGTGGAGCTATTGAATTACCCCCACTTTTTCTTGATGAGCAAAAAAATAAAGTGGATTTTAATGAATTATCAGGATCTCCCAACAACTAAAATGTTTGTAATATCACTAAAAAGGGAAAGCAATTTCAAAAATCCATAAATATACCATTCTGATGTAGGATTCTGCATGAATTTGATACACGTTACGTTGGACATCTTTATCATGATCATCGCCCCCTATGTTGTGTAAATGTATATTAGTGTCGCCCCCCCCCCGCTTTTCGAATTTCCATGGCCAGGGAAGTCGTCCCCCCTTTCCCCATCCCCCAAAGAGGGGCTGGGAAGGGGGTTACTTTTCAGCAAATAATTTTTTGGGACCGATTATTATTCATTAAAACCAGGATAACCCTATCATTTACCAGTAAACCGTTTTCCTGGGGATGTTATGTGAAGTCATAGGGTTGCTGAAACGTAGCATGAATCTCCAACGAAAGATCGAATGCTTGGTTAAGGTCCAAGTATATTCCACACTTTCAACATGTGGCCCAGTAAAATAGTTACTTATCAGGGTTTTTTGGGGGGGGTTCTAGTGAAAATTTATATTTTTACTCTGTTACTGGGATTCGGGGTGGTAAATTTTTTGATGACAGTTTTGTTTAACTTTTACCTTCCCTGGGCAGCCCCAGCCAAAAAGGTTTTTCTTTTTTTAATATCCAGGGATTCAAAATGAAATAAATAAATACAGGGGATGATGCGCAATGATTACGCATTTTGAGATTTGAATAATTATGACAATGCGGCTTATTAGCAATCTTTACTTTATCGACTTGTTCCCACATATTTTCTTTTGCGGTCGTGTGGAAAGTTATTCCCTCCCTCCAGCCCCTTTTCCAATTTCATTTAAATGATGATAACATTTTTCTATTAGAACCCTTTCGCACAATATGGTTCCACGGTTGAAACAATAGTTTGAATGCATTTCGTCACAGGAACTCGCAGCTCAGTTCAGTTGCTACACTTCCCAAGAGTGAGAATATGGGGAAGACTGTTATAATAAAAGCATTATTGTCTCGATTTTCCAGGTGTAATTTATTGAAAGCAGAACTTTATATTAACATTGTATTTAATTCCCCTCATCGGTATCCATTTATCGACGTTATACTTAAATGTTAATTCACAAGCTTAATACCAACAACACCATTATCCCCAGTAATTTCGAAGTCTCTTTGGCGAGTTTTGCAGATAATCTGCTTTAAAAATGTGTGCATAATACCAAGAGGGCGGCATGTTTCCCTCATGTACAGGTATTTAGTAGTAGGCACTTCCGCTTGTGAAACGTGTTGTTTTCTTATAAATTGAAGGCGTTATATTAAATGCTACGGACCCACGGTTGAGTACAAATAAAAGTAAAGAACATAAAAAATGGGTTCTTGTCAGAGTGGCCTTTTTATTTCGCAAACGAGGTTTGACCATTGTATGTTAACGTCCTCAATTTTCCTCATGTAGCCTACATTTACAAAGGAGGCGTAAAAATACTTCTTTCCCTCAAAAAAAACCCTGCCTTTCTTAATTTGTTTTTCAATTTTGCAAACCATGGGTCTGGGAAATGTATTGTAGTTTGATTTTTTCCGTTGAGACTCAAATGTTTACCATTTCAGTATTCCAACCAGACAAGTTTTACGTCGATATAGATACCCTTGGCTTTATGAATAGGGTATGTGACAACCGATTCCGATTCTATTTTGTTGTTTTTTGTAGATGGAGATTTCCTTGTGAACAAATAATGTAGCATAAACTCTTGAGCCTGAAATGTTTTAACATCTGAGAAAAATATTTTGCTTTTATCTTGTTTTATGCTATATAAAATATCGATGGTGTAATTATTTCCAGTACGTATGCAGGTCTTTGAAGTTCGAAAGGGGGTCTGGCAAAATGGAAATTTTTTTCCGAAAAATAGCTGTCCAAATCTTTTAAACCTAATAAGAATCCTTATCCCCCTAGAGAAATGGTGTAGTACTTGTACTCTTTCCAAATATCACCGCTTATGTCGAGAGGCAAAATTGCCAAACCCTAATGGGTGGGTCTGTGGTAGGCATACTCAACCCACAGGTTTACAATGATCTTGCTAACTTGTCTTCTAGCGGCACTCGTAGAAGTTATTTGCACGGTACGGTGCGGCGGGATATTATGCATACATGTACATGTACATGTACGTTAGTCAATGATCAAGAACGTGTACATTACATACATGTACGTGGGCGTACGGGTATCGTACCGGTTATGCCGGTACTCGTGGAAAACGTGCAGTGGTAGGACGTTTTTGAAAGAAAAATAGAGAAAGATGGTGACCTAGAGTCAACTTACGGACCAATAAAATGGTTTGGTTCTTGTGCCTTGGTATATGGCGGATATTTCTGTTTGCTTTTCTTGTATGGTGAGTTTATCGAGTTATGCGGTAGCTAGCCTAGTATTAATCAGGTAATACGAAATGCCAGTGAACTGTCAAATACATGTACACGTAGCCTAAACATGAACGGGCCCAGATTACGGACAGTGGTGCTTTATTTTTCTCGTCATGCTTGTCCTGCTCGTGGTCGAGTTGTACGTCTTTCTAAACTATGTGGTTTCATTGGTAGACCCTCTCATTATAATTTCTTGGGAATACATCTGAGATATTTGAGCAAATGTCTTCGTGTTGCATGTCCTGGCTGATTTTTATGAGGAGAGGAGCCAGGTCGACATGGCCGAGGGTTGCAATACATTGTGGGTTTGGATGACGAACAAGCAAAGCATTTATGCATTACCGAGTACCGTATACTAAAACTTACCTGCTAAACATTAGTTTGTTTCCATTTTTATTACATACTCCGATTCAAGTCGTGCTCTTTTCGCACTGTTGGGAAAGAGTTTCATCCTTGGACATCACTTGACTCCTTGTAAACAAACCTAGGCCATGGGACCGGCCTGAAGTGTTTTGTAAAATGCATTTTCCACGCTAAATATGACATTTTTGGACAAATCACTTTCTGATTGCTAGTTGTAAACCACTGCAAAAGGACGTTAGTGATGTGCGCATACGGAAGTTTATCGAGTGTTGTAACTTGTACTTGTAGTTGTACATCTTGTATGTTTGGGATAGGATAAGAATTTACTGGTTGCTCACCAGAAAAATAAATTTAGGAAATTCCTTCCAAGGCCACGAGAATGGAAGGTTTAGGTTTGCATCTGGAGCATTTTGGAAAAGCATGAGGCTTTTTTCAGTATTCATTTATCATTATCTACATGTATTTGTACTAAGATGGTATGCATAATGCATAGTGGCTGTGCGCCGTGCATACCCAGAGCAGTGCATATAAATAGAAATTTAATCGTTTGTGTAGTAGGCAGGTGTGGCCAATGCGGAGGTACATTGTACGTAGGTATGTGCATTTTATACCCTTTTACTGCTGCTTTATGATTTGGGATTGGACATTTTTTTTGGTAGCCTTTTTGTGAAAATGATGGAATTTTTTCGTAAACTAATTAATTGATTAAAAAAATGCTGTTTTGGCAGGATGTTTTGGAGCATGCGGGCTGTGGACGCAAATCTACAACTTTCATTCTCATTGCCATTTTTTTGTCTTGGACTAAGACCATGAATATTAATGTTACACTGGCCAGTCAGAGTCAGGACTTTGAAGCTCATTCATCCTGCATTGACCAGTCACATTCATTTTCAGCCTAAAGCAAATGGAGCACGTTTAAAATACAAGAACAGTTTTTTTTTTGTGGCAGGTGATATTCCTTGACGTGAGAAGCTATAATATATAACCACTGTGATAGCTTCTCACATCTAGGAGTACGTGTAACTCCTCTCTCCAGCCAGGATTTAGCAAGATTTAAGAACAATATTTCTTGCCCTGTTAAAAATTTTCTATTTCTTTTTAATTTGTTATTAATAATTTAAATATTTTGAATTGTATAATGTGCAAATGTGTGTGTTATTGCAACTGATTTTGTATATGATTTGTTCAACATTCTGCTTGTCAGCACTACAGAATATTCAGATATTCGATCGAATTAGAGGTTGAACTGTGAAATTATTTGAATTGACTCAGCTTCTTCAATCTTGTTCACATATGACTGAATTTAAAATTGGGGCTGAATTGACCTGGATCCAGCTGGCTTCGGGTGGAGTTGACCCAAAAACTTCCTGCTCTTCGTAGTGCTGTTTACACAATCATTTAATCTTGATGTGCTATCGGTCGATCTTGAGGGAAATCTCATTTCACTTTTTAAAAAATCTCCCATAACCTTGAACCAGAAAGGAAAAGTAATAGCTGATATGGACAGATCAACAGATTACAAGATCTTGACAGAAACGTTGTTTAGCTTTTATGAACGATAGGCCTGTGTACATGTGGTATGCATGCAGTTGTCTTGAAGTTGAGGTTTCTTGCTGGGATTTCTGAGACTTGCATTTCAGCAGATAACATAGCGCAGGTTTCCTAAAATAAAAATTCTGCAGTTCTATGTATAGGATTCATCCAGTCCATTCGCAGTCCCTTCGTAGTCTGTTTATTGGAGTTGAACGAGGACAGCCGGAATCATTGTTTGCATATTGTCTTGTCAATACAGGGCTCACTCTCAGACTGGCCTGGCCAGGGTGAATGTGAAAGCTGACCATGGAATCAGCGGTAATCAACAAGGCTTCCAGGGAACTGCCAACATTCCTCAGAGCTTGGAAGACAAGGTAAATAATGCATTGCACCCAACCAATTAAAGTTTAGCTGCTCTAAAGTTGATTTAATACAAACCTTTAAAATGCTTCTTTGTGTCTCAGTTAATGATATTTCCATATTCATGAGCAGAACTGTGATGTCATCCCAGGAAGAAAGGGTAAATTTCACATTGTACATATACACAAAAGAGTCCTACATTTTTATTTCCTGGACAAAATTTTCTCCTTGCGAATTTAATGTTGTTTATGCATAAGTGAGCACCAGTGCTATTCTCAGAAATGTTTCCAGTAAGTAAATTCTTGGTTTTCAATATAAATTATCGAAAAACCTATGTGTGTGCAATGAACCATGTCTTCCCTGGATGACATCTTTGCAACAGCGCCCTCAGTTGTCTAGGAAAGCATGGATAACTTTAAGTGTTTAATAAAGGGCACAAAATACTGTTCATCGTTGGTACCAGGCAAGTTTGAGTGATGACCCTGTCAACCACAGTTAGATACATGTACCTGTTCATTGTGGGTACCAGGCAAGTTTGAGTGATGACCCTGTCAACCACAGGTGGATTTTCCTTTGTAACCTATGCACAAAATACACATACCTGTACATCCTGGGTACCAGATGAATTGACCAGCAGTTGATAAGTGGCAGTCATTCGAATATGCCCAGTGCTGCAGGGCCAGCCCAACCTAGCCGGGTACCAGTACATGGATAGTTGGAAATGCCCAACCGTTGTTGAGATACGTGTAGTCCAAGCCATTGCTGAGACTGTAGTTGGGATGTAACATGCATTGCCCATACAAGTCAATCCTAGACCAGCACAGACTGTGTGCCTCAGTGAACAGTATTTCTGGACAAAATGTACCCCCCTCACCAGGAGAGAGAGGTTACTGGTAGTGAGCAAATACCCGGTATTTTATCAACAGGCTTCCAGCACCCACACAAAAGCAACATGCCTCAGGGATAAACTGGTCAGGCAGGCATTGCATGCAAATGCCGAATGACTTGACACTAATTGCATTTCTACTTCGTTGATGGGATGAAGACTTCAATCAGATGAATTTTCTGGGGGAGATCAGATGTGAATATGTCTGTGAATCTTCCATCTGGTGGCTGTCATTATAGTTCGAGAAATAACTGAAGTTTATTTCTGGACTTTTGTGTGACATCAGCCTGTACTGTTAATCTGTCAGCCACTAGATACCGTTATTCATTAACAGCCACTGGACAGTTTTACAAAAACGCACCTGTCCGTTAAAATGAAAATCATGTCTTATGCTGTGGCATTAACCTGCCTTCCTCAGATGAAAAGGCAAACAGAGGGCATGAAAGTACAAGTTAAATTAAAGAGAGAGGAATTCCATACACAGATATCACCAGCTTTATACTAACTATCTGCTATCAGTAAGCAACAGCATGTCCTAAACAGTCAAGTTAAGCGTAAAAAAAAAAATGAATCATTTACTTAAAACCACTTGCAATTTCGTCAGACCTACATGTATCTTATAGGGTTTGTTTTCAGGGTGTCACTTTATGTACATGTATTTGTTTATTAGTCAGTTTCTCATGCAAAATACAAAGCATGTAATATTACAGTATAAATATACAGTTTCATGTACGTGTACGTAAAAATTACAAAACATGATGCGAAAGATCGCATGTCTGGGTGTGGAATGTTTTCTGATAAAAAAGGCAGACAATGTTAATTGCTGCACTTTCACAGAATCTCAGTTGAAATTTTATATTTCTTTTGAATGTGGATGCACATGTACACTGTACGTCATTGCATTATGAAGTAAACCGAAAAGATGCAATTACTGCAGTTTAACTAAATCACACGCGACCGTATTTGTTCTCCAACTTTATGTACACACAGTTGGGCAGTGTCAATTAGGGTCATCATCAGATACATGTACTGGGGAAACTCAAACGATTTTGAGTGGATTACATTTTCTGTTTCACTGACTACCATTTACATTTGTCTGAACTGAATTGTTTACCATTTTGCTGCATGCTTTAACTGTATCACTGTTTGCATTCCTCCTGTAATGTTTGGGTTGAGTTATTTGACACTTGTGTCTTGTTGTTTGACTGAAGCAGTGCCTTATGTGTCTATGGAATTACCTTTAGTGTTGATTCGTTTGATGTTTGCACAAATCCTGCACTGAGTCATTTGATGTACATTTACGGGTAGTTACATGTACATGGTGTGAAGAGTTTATCTGCTGGGTTTCTGCAGTCATGCAAAACTCAGAAAATCCTGAAAAATTGTTCTGGAAAGTCATGGAAAAATCAGGGAAATACAGTAGGGTGTCCTGGAAACTTATTAGAGGGAAAAAAAATCATCAAAGGTCAAGGAAATTGATCAAGACCATGCCAGGGTTATATTTGATGGGCTCTGTTAAATGTAATAACGGCGTGATGATAAATTTACAGGCTACATATATATCCTCGTAAGTCTGCTTAGTGGCTGAGGCAGTCTTCCAGTTCATGACCCTAAACAACTTGTCTCTGTAAAATGGTGTTAAATGTCATAGAATCGGGTTTTTCAGATTTTAGCGGGAACCCTGCGCTTGCCACTTACTTGTACCGGTAAATGTCTACAGCCCTGGTAATCCACAGGTCATGGTCTGCTCTGTCCATTCAGCTTGATACCTTTTGTGGCCCATCTACATGCTGTGTTTATAGCCGCAGCTGAAAGGACAAACTAGGAGGGGTTGAAGAATTACTGACTGAGGAAATAAACCCTTTTTTGACATTTTCAGTGTGCCATGGGATTACTCGCCGAACTGGGATGCGACGTCCGCGCCGCTCCCACGTGGGATGCGTGGGAGCGGGGTGGACGTTGGATCCCACTGTTCTGGGAGTATCATGGGATTGGATCACAAACCAGCTATTGATACATTTTGCACGCAATCCTGTGGTAGGAGCATGAAAAAATAACTCTGTCTAGTTCCCCAGGTTCTTTATACACTGTACATGTACTTGAAATAAAGTCAGCCTTTTTCTAGCATTGCATCAATGATCAAGGCACATGTACATGTACATGCACAAAAATCAAATTTAAAAGCTCACCAGGAAAATTTGAATTCTGCAGTTAAAATGAAATGCATGTACCATCAGTAACAATTTTGAAAGCTTGGTGCAATATTGGTGTGAAAATAATTTAAACAAATTGGAAAGTAGTGAAACAAAACGTTATCTTCTAATTTGACATTTTTGTCACAAAAGAGCTTCATAGGTTAAAGAGTGATTTCTGCTTAAATGTAGATTGATGCCAAGGAAAACCCCTCCAAAAACAAGTTTACAACAGAAAGTCACACACCGGAAAGCCTACCAGCAACCAATCAGATGCAGGAGCTACAGTCATGTGACAGTCAACAGCCTGTCCAAGATAGTGTGGTTACTCAGGTAAGAGTCTCATTGTCACATACATGTACATGTACTAATAACTATTCGAACATAAATTTGAAGTTCATCTGAAGATTTTTGATTCATTAAGTAGGATCAGAGACCTAAGTACGAAACATAGATGGCACATTATACTAGTCAACAATTTGCAATACAAAGAAAACATTTTCTTTTTTTAAGATACTGTAGGATCATGCGTCTTGTAATTCAGTAATATACCTCCATGTTTTTACTTTTAGTGGAAATTATAAAAAGAAGAGAACCAAAAATACAGTAGGAGAATTTTAATACAAAAGGATGCCGCAATGGAGCAAATTCTTTGCCCAAATTGGCCCCATGAAAATGGCAGGTGAGTAACAGTTATAGGGGCTTTGCTGGCCGCCTTGATCTGCCACAGTAACAATTGATCTTCCACCTTGCAAATGGTAAACTTCATCCAGCAAAGTTAACACATTGGCCGGTGGTGACCGCCTTGATTCATTTTAGTTGGAGGATGCACAAACATGACCTGGCAGTCTGCTGCCAACATGAGTCTCCGCCTGCGGACATACATGTCTCGTCCCTGGTTTGTTTTGCACACACACTCACAACGTGCATCTGAGAACTCTGCAGAGGCAAACCGTGGACTGAACTTAAACTTCCCCTTCGCTCACCACCCATCAAGCAATGTCGCTCAAATTCCGAACCTCAGAATGTTGAAAATACAGGATTGCAGTGAGAAATCCCAGATAAAGATTGTGCAACTGACTCTCTGGTGTCATGTACATGTACCGGTACATGTACATGAAATGATGGCGTTTGAAGAGTTGGCTGCCATAGGATCTTCCCTTTCTACAACATAGTCGTGTTTTTGCCTAACAGTGGTTGGTACATGTAAAACTATGGCTAGCCGTCAGTTGATAAAAAATAATATTAATAATGGATTTCTAATGTGCCAGCTTCAGCAACGTGCTGTCTGAAGGCGCGGCACACTTCATTCAAAATCAGAAGCATATAATTCCTTTAGTTGTAATTATGTCTGCACAGCTATCCAAACACAGAGTAATAAGCCCATATCTGAAGTCATTCGTTCCATTTTCAGTTAGAGATTTTAATAGTACCAACTCACAAATTTTAGATTTTTGGGTTTTTTAGTCATATCGGAACTGTTGGTTGAAAAAAAACCCCAGTTTATTCTTATGTTTTTAAACGTTTTATCTTTGTTTCAATGTTTATAATTTATCTACATGCAGTACAATCTTTCTATCTTAAATATTATGTATTATTCAAAACTGTAATGTTTTAAAGCAGACATGTAAAGTTTCTATTTTATTTGTTTGAAATGGACAATAAAGAATCCTTAACCTTTAAACACTTTGTACATGTCATCACCCTGGTCATGAAAACACGACCTTCTTAAGTAATGGGGAAAAGTACATGTATTCATATTTGTGTAAATTCTTACGCCAGCCAAGAGGGATTCTTCAGCAAACTTTGGCTGCCCATATTCTATTGAAAAGTAGGCAGAATGAAAGCAGTCTATATCTTGCTTTTTTAAATTGTAAGTAGGATTTTTCTGCAAAAACAAAAACCAAAAACCATCATGCGCAAGTGTATTATCAAAGTTGTTGCTAGGTTACAGAGCACGCACTCTGAAATTTGCTTTACAGATTTAACTAAAAAAAAACAAAAGTGTTGGGTTCTGGTGGATTTTTTCCAAAAATCAATATGCAAATATGCATGGCGCAGTCAATCCGTTATTTCCAAAAGTTGTTTGCATGTCTGTTTTGCACAGCTGGGCCGGGAACGGGAGGAATTGCAGAATATTAATAGCCTGCCAGGTGACAGCATCAAACAAGAAGCTAATCCCCTTGAAAATGGTCCACTGGGAGCTGAACTAGGTGCAGGACGTTCATCAGCTTCAGAAGAAAACAAGCAAGCGATGGAAGATCTGGAGATACCAAGCAGAGATGGAAAAGGGTAAGCATGCTTGGTGGTTTTATTTTGGTCCACAGTACACGCTGTATGTTGAATGTGTTGGACGTGTACATTTTGTGTACGGTACACTGATGTATGAATTTGTTGTCTCATTTTTTTGCAATTCGCTTTTTGCCCGCTGCCACCATAGACATGCAGAGCCTCGATCTGGCAGTTTACACAATAAATATAGCCGGCTACGTTAGTTCTTGTATCATGCCATTGGACAAAGCGATTCTGGCATGATTGTATAAGCTGTCAGTTCGAGGCTCTGCATGCCTATGGCGGCAACTTGCAAGAGCGAATAGTTTCTGTGTGTGTGAATGTAATGTTACCATGTGTGCCTTTACATGTGCCTGTAATCAACTTGTACATGTATACATGGTTGTATATCTTGTAATTAAACCTCTTTCCTCCATAGTAATTAATCCCATTTTCTAGTCCAAGTGTGGGGTACCGGTAGGTTGTACCACAGAGAAAGGACACAGTTGCACCAGCTTGGACAGAATATGCTCGGTGTTGATTTTAGTTATTTGATCTCTGTTCTAGGATATACTGTAAAAAAAGAAGAACTTCAAGGGAAGCCAGAAGCTGTATGGTGATCCCATATGGTTGGTCTTCACAGAGAGACTTTGTATAAATTACACACTCTTCCTGTGAGCCATGAAACTCACCTGATTTTTCCTTTTTTATCACACTGGCATGAGTATGATCAGTTAATTTAAATTTGGTTCATCTTGAGGTACATGCGTTTGTCTTCAAGCAGACTTGAACTCTCAATTGTGATTGGTCAGTCCATGGCAACAAACAGTGTGATACATGTATACACGTACTGTATTGCAGGGTTCATATCAAAACCTGTGTGATGTGCTATTCTAACTCGGCGCATTGCGCGCTTTTTACACTAAAAGCGTAGTTGCAAAATTCACTGTAATTTCAAAGGTGGTGTGTTTGTGCGCATAGGCCCCTATAACATCTTTACTGTTTGTCAAGATTGCTTGAAGATACTTATAAATTCATTATCACTCTCATGGAACAGAGTAATGCAGTGTGTCTGTGTCCCCTACACCACTCGGCCTTGTGGTACATGTACATGTTCATATGTATGTGTACATGTATATGGGACACAGACACCAGTTGCATCATGTTCTACTCATGCTTGTGTGATAATTAGTAGTGCATGCAAAAGCATTGATGAAGGGCGGGTATGCTTGTACATGTACAGTACATGTACATGTACAGTAGAGTAGTAGTTTTTTCAAAACAGAGGTTTCACAAGTAAGGGGATGTTGTGCAGTATATATGTGACCCACTCTGCGTAAAGGAGTCTTAAGTTGCCAGAGCCACTTTTTGAGTTTTCATTTGTATTCAAAAGAGCAAATAAAGCTTTTTCTTTTGATGTACAATGTATCACTCAGTTTGGCATCCTGACGAAAGTGGATACTCCATGGTTAAAAATGCTGTGGGGTCCTATTGATTTACATTGTGCAAAATTATTCTAAAGGACTGGTTACTCCAGAGTGGCTCTGGCGACTTAAGACTCCTTTTCACAGAGTGGGTCACATATGTCACCGGTATCTAGGTGATAGATTGTAACTTCCAACCTTTTAACTGCCGTGGCTGAATAATGTACACGTGTACGTACCAGTTGATTGGTTTTTAAAACTGATTGATTGTGTATGCGTGTTGGTTGTTTTTTTTATGAATTTGTTCCCTGGTTCAGTAGAGGATCTGTTCTTCCACACATCATGTGATTTTGGACTTACCTGTATTTAATCTGGAAGTCTAGGAATACAACCACACTTAGAGGATGAATATGGAATATCAGTTTTCTGACCTCCTGTGTTTGATTAGCAGAAAAGAGGTCAGACCTCCAGTCAGCTTTTAAACTGCAGTCCTGGGGCAAAATTGTTGGGACACATGTCAGTTGCTATACCCTCATCAGGTCCCCCACTCTCCTGGTCAGTCTTGTCATCTCCAGTAACACATGTACATGTAGCTCCATGGTCAGACCCCTGCCCATTGAGGCCCAATATTGAGAGGGAGGGGCGCCAAGGACACTTGCCCCCCCCCCATTGTGGTTCCCCTTGTGGTTAATCATGCATCTGTTTTACAACTTTACAGTTCAAGGTTTATATGCATAGTAATTTTCAGCTGGACTATGTGTGCTCAGTGGCCTGCAGAAGTTGGGTCCAGCCAGTAATTAAGTCAAATTTATCAGCAGGTTATCAGTAACAGGTGTTTTATGGTCAGGTCAGGATTTGCTCACCCTGTTAAACTCCCCAGTATGTTGACTAGTACCTGTGATATCAGAAATCTGAGCAGCACTCTTCCAGGTTTGGTTAATTTTCTAACATCAGCATGAATTGAGGGTTGTTGAAAGTCAAGATTTTAGAGGAAAGATTACAGCTGCTTGTATTACCCATGATTTGAAGTCTTTGTCGCTAGAGTAACATCTTCATGTACAGTTATACAGGCCTACAGGTTGCTCAAAATTGTGGCATGAATGATCATTTTGGGGCTCTGTGGATTGGTTCTTCTGAGTGGAGAACTTTTGAAAAATTAGTTCAATATGGTCACGACTCACGTTTTGAAAATTGTCAATTATAACATGTGACTTAGATTTAACCTTTAGGATTGTGAACAATCTGGGGACCCTATCAGGAAGCACACGTATACATGTACATGTACATGTACAGTATGCATGATTGGATCCCACAAAACTAATCTGACATGTCTAAAGGCCATTTTGTCAGTAAATTTGACTCAGTTGGCACAAGACAGCGGGAACTGAGCTCTTTCTGAAAATGAACATGTATCACTCACTTCGGCATCCTCACAATGAAAATTGGTATAATATGGGTAAAAACTGTTGAAATGTTCAGACAATGAATTTACGGTACATTGTGCAAGATTCTTTTGAAAGAGTCAAACTCAAAAGTGGCTCTGATGACTGGCCAGTTATTTCGTTGGATTGGGCCATTGTAATGTGGTCAGCCTGTCATTGCGTCATGCGCCAGAAGAACCTGTCACCTTTATGAGTGGAGTGATTGGTTTTGCTCCAAAGGAGCCTTTTGGGTGCTCCGACATTAATTGCACTTTTTTTGCGCATTGTGTAAAAATGTTGTACAAGAAATACATGTAACTGCATTCTTTTGTAAAGTACAACATGCAGTCCTGAATCCATTAAATTTCTGCATAAGAAGAAGTGTGGTTTGGGTTAATACTTACAAGGGCACTATTAAATTTTTTATTACTTTGACATAAAACGGTATAATAACTGATTTCATTTGTCACTTCTAAGGACAAGATTCATAAAGGCCACAAATGGTTAACAAACTTTAAATGAAATGAAGATTAAAAAAAGTGCTATCATATGTACATGTACTGTAGGTACCACACATTTGCGACTCAGAACCAATATTGATACTCCACCATATGAAGCCATAGAAACAAAAATGTGGAATTATGAAAAATGCAGATGTGTGGCATACTGGTACATTGAGTACCGCACACAGGTGGCTGAAAATCCCGAGCATTGAATTCTGAAAGTGATTGGGTGTTTGTTTATTTCCCGGATGGATGGATGGAAAGACAGTGTGTAAATGTACTGGTGGTAGCAGAGTACAGGTCTGTTTCCTGTTGAGTTCTAAACTGTGTGGAATGCTTTTGTGCCAAATCTCAGTTGGGAAAGTGAGTACATTTTCCTTTTTGTGGGTGTCAGTTCACATACTTGTACAGTGTTTTGCACACTTGCAAACCACATGTTATGTGTACGTGCAATCTACAGTACATGTAATGTACATGTACAGTGTACTTGTAACAAAAAGTGAAGAGTCTGCAGATTTTAAGGTCTGGGAGGCACTGATGTATGTGCAGCATGTAAGATAACAAGTCAGCAGTTTTCACTTTCCTCTTGGATGACGTGTGTGTGTGGCTGACCGGTTTGCTCATTGCATCAGTGCAGCAGGCCATGCCAAATTGACTCAAAGGGTCCTTGAGGGTCCTTGCAACGTGGTCGAAGGGCAACAGCACTGTAAGCGGGGGAGCGAGAGAGAAAGAAACAGGTGAAGTTGTTCGGTTTTCAGGCCTTTAACCCATTGCATGTACATGTATGTAGGGCCATTGAAATTGGCTCATGACAGTTTGTGCTCAGTTCATGCCAACCTGGGTACGTTGATTGTCAGTGCTAAGACACGTGGTCTTGATTTTTAAGACAACTAACCTAGATTCATAAGTTCAACTTTTTATCGAGCAGTTCCTTTTAATTCCTGTATTGTGCTGTTTTTAGGCCTATGTGGCATCGATTACATGTAGGCCTATTGCAGGGGTCAACCTTTGTAATTTATTTCAAGAGATTAAACATTCTGGATGGCAGTGATGAGAGATAAGCAGCAGGTTGTGGTCACACAAAGCAATGGGATCTCCTCACATACATGTACATGTATGATAAAACCTGTGTGAAAATTGTACCTGTTCGTGTTCAGTTAGATAGATCTGCAAAGTGTACATGTAGTCTGCATGTAAATGTGTATTCATTAATAGAGGAAAAGCAAAAACTTGACGTGGATTGATTGAAGGTTTGCCACAGACCATATGTACATGTACCGTACCTTATTTACTACAAGTAGAAAGGATATGAAGTACTTGTAGAGCGTCTTAATTTTCAAAACCTGCAGGAGAGATTCTTTTGAGGCATGAAAAGTTGGAGCAATTTGGTAAATTTGTGTTAAGTCAAATTCTTGTCTGCATTCGTTTTTATTGATGGGCTTGATAATTTGCCAATTTGTGGTACAAAGCAAACACATCCTGCAATCAGCAGCCATGAACAGATGCATCAATGGAACATGTAACAATGCCTTGTCTATCAGCAGAAGGTGTAGGCTGTGCACTTTACCTACATGTACATGTACATGTAGGTAGTAAGAGGAGATGGTTGTAACACGTGTTGCTAACTGATAAAGCCACGTGGTCTTATATTTGTGTGCTTCCAGTAAGCGACT